CTCTGGGGCCGCGGCCAGGACGCCGCCCTCACCTTCCCTTCCTCCCCGTTTCCTCGGGCCCACGGAGGTTGCCTCGGCCCGGCCCCAGCTCACCTGCGGCCAGGCAGCTCTAGACGTGGCTCCTCCTGCCGGAAGTGCGAACCCGGCTCCTGCAGTCGCCATATTGGGAAGGCGGGGAGAGCACTTCCGGCGGAAGCGGCGCCTGTCCTCGAGCCGGCTCATTCCTCCTCTCCCCAGGAGACCCCGGGGTCGGGCTGGCTTAGGATCTGGAGCTGGCGATGGAGGGAACCTGGGGGCCGGCCTGGTGCCAGCCAAACTCCGCCCCGCTTGCCTGGCTCCTTCATTGTGCATATTCCCCAGTTCTAGACTAGGAGCTCCCTGAGGGCAAGGTCGTGTCTCAGCCTAATCAGAGAGACCCGGGATCTCATTTATTTGGAAGTTACCTCCAAAGATGCTGATCGCACCCCCGTCATGCCAGCCCATCTGGTGCCCTCCTACCTATGACTTTACAAAAGTTGCCCTCTACAGGAGGGGCAGGAGGCCTTCCAGGTTTTCTCTGACCACCCAATCTTTTTTTCCTAGCTGACACTTTCTCTGGCCTTCTGTGCTTGGTTGTAAGTGGATTGATTTTAAGTGACTGACTGTGCAAAGTCACCAGCCTCACTGCCTCCCTGATGTCATGGTCTTCTTTGAAAAAGAAGGACAAACAACCCTAGCTTAGTGTACATCCTGTAGGTGAGCAGGACCTTCAGTCACAGTAATGGACACCAGTGGAAAGAGAGTGCTCCACTTCGCCTCAGTAAGGTAGATTTAAAGACTGCAGACAGTAGGTGGTAGGGGAATGCAGGATGGCTTCTCCCAGAAGCAGGTCCCTGGCTTGGGGACCACATGGGCTGCCTGCATCTTATGTGCCAAAGTTCTGTTATAGAGATTTGTAAAACAACAGGCTTAGAGTAGATGAACTCTAAGGTCCTTTCCAGCTCTGGCATTGTTCTATGATCTAACTTTCCTTCTAGTTCTAACAGTCTGTATTCTAAGGTCTCTTCCAGCTCTGACACTGGAAAGTCTTTATTATGTACCTGCTATGTGTAAGGGACTGTGCTAGGTATGGGGAATACAAAAAAGTCCCTGGTTTTTAAAGAGTGTACATTCTACCCACGGTGTATGAGGTGGAATGCCATCAAGTATGTGAATGAATGAATGTAAAGTATACATAAAATAAATGTAAAGTTTGAGAGGCAGGGGTGATGGGAAAGGGAGGAACTCTAATAGCTGAGAATATCAGGAAAGGGCTCATTAAGGTGGTGGTGATAGGGTGCTTGGGTTCCTGTGCTCGGACCCCAATTTCTCCCTGGCCTCAGAAACACTATCCCTGGCAATTTTCCCCCAGCCCAAGGACACTGTCCCTAGCAATTACTCATGAGTGGGCCTCAGCAAAACACTCACCTCTCTCCCTGGTGACACAAAGCTAGGTGAGAGAGTGCTGGGCTGCCCCCAGCCCTAAGATTATGTCTCTGGAAGCCTCCCAATACCTTAGTAAGCTCCTGTCTTGTGAGAAAACTTTCCCTTGTGGCAGAGCATTCTCTAATCAGGACAGAGAGAGAGAAAGAGGTGCCTGGTCCAAGGATTTTTGTCCCTGGCTGGCCCAAGGACTCTTCCTCCTATAAGATCCTTTGACATCTCCCTCCCTATTTGATATACTCCAACACTTTCCCCTCCATAGCTCCCAAAGACACCTGGACCTTTAGATTACCTAATTAGTATCCCTCGCATACCTTTCCCATGCCCTTTTCCATATAAACCCTAGCTCCATCCCCAGTCTTTCGAAGGTGCCTTAAGAATCTTTGCCCGCTGAAAAGCGTAACTCAAAGATTATCTGAGTCTGTGAATTCATTCCAGACAATCCCGTCCTGTACTTCGGTCTTTGAGTGGGCTCAACCTCTCAGACCACAACAGTTGTACCTGAACTGACCTTTCAAGGTTGCTGTGGCTTCTAAAAGGTGGAGGTAAGAAGGGGTGCATTCCAGACATGGGAGAAAACAAAGGCAAGAGAGAGAATATCCATTGTGGTGCAGCATAAGTTGACTAGTTTGGCTGGAATGTGGAAGGGGTGAGAGGAGCAATGTAAAATAAGGTGGGGAAGAGAGGCCCAAGATAGATTGTGAAGGGCTTTAAACGCCAGAGGGGCTTGACAGACCCATAGAAGCTTCTTGAACAGAGAAATGATATAGTCGAGCCTGGGCTTTAGAAGTATTTATTTGGCAGATACTGTGCTTTGTGTTCTAAGGTCCACCCCCACCCCCAATATTCTGATTTCTTCCTTGTGTCTTTGCCCTGGCTGTCTTCCAAGCCTAGAAGGCACTCTCCTTCCCTCGGCTTGGAGCCCCTAGGGCTCTTCCTCTAAAATGCACTATGTTTAATCTTGCAACCACCTTCAGCAAAAAGCCTTTCCTGATCCCCCCAAATACTGATGCCCGCCCTCCCATACCACCTTCTGTTTAGCTACTTTGTATAGATTTCAATTTATCAACTTGAAAATCATGCTGAATATATTTTCATATGTACTTTTTGTCTTGGAGGCAGCTAAGTGCACAGTGGTCATGTTGGGTTTAAGAGTCAGGAAGACCTGAGATCAAATTCTGCCCTAGACATAGCTGTGTGACCTTGGGCAAATCACTTAACCTCTCTGAGCCTTAGTTTCTTCATCTATAAAATGGTTATAATAATAGCACCCACCTCACATGGAGTTGTTATAAAGGCCAAATGAGATAACATAGTTTTGTAAACCTTAGAGCACTACAAATGCTATTTTTAGGATATAAGCTCATCCTAAGTGGAGATTTTTCCACTTTTCTCTTGAATCCCCAGTGCCTCTCAGTGTCTGGCACTTAGTAGGTGAGCGATTCATAGTTGACTGCTAATAGTTCACATTTCTATAGCACTCCAAGGTTTCCCAAATGCTTTCCTCTTCACCCCTGAAGTGGGCATTGCAAATATTATTCCTGTCTCACAAATGAGAAAACTGAAGCTTGGAGATGGGAATAATAATAAGAGATAAGGCTTACACTGTGCTAAGCACTTTACAAATACTACCTAATTTTATCCTCACAACCCTGCGAGGTAGGTACAAATGGTTTGCTCACAATCGTGTAAGTACTGAAATGCCCATTAGGTAAATGTCATATGGGTAGCAGAAGCAAAGTGTTATGGACACCCCGGGGGAAATTGTATGCTTTTTCTGTATGTACTAGTATAGACACCCTTGATGGGGGAGGTGGCTTTTAAGGTGGCCCTTGAAGAAGAGTAGGATTTCAATAGGATAGGAATAGACTCTGGGCTTGTGATGTCATTGGAATGTTGTTGTTCAGTCATGTCTGACTCCAGTTGATTTTACAGATGAGGGACTGCAGCAAACAGGGTAGTAGTCACTTGCCTAGGGCCACACTGCTAGTGTTTGAGACTAGAACCTCTACCCACTGGGCCACCGAGCTGGCCTTTCATTGGTATAGTGAACTCAGGGTTAAGGAAATTCCTTCCACCAATGCAGATCAGCACCTTATAGTTACTGAGAAGTGACTTGCCCCAGGTCAAACAGCCAGTATGTCAGAGACAGGATTTAACCTAGCTTTAAAGCCAGCTCTCTATCCACTATACCACAGAGAAGGTAGGATTTCAATAAGGGAGGAAGGGAACAAGCATTTATTAAGTACCTACTACCTGCCAGGCACTGCGCTAAGTGCTTTACAAACATCTCATCTGATCCTTACAACCCTGGGAGGTAGGTGCTGTTGCTATCCTCATTTTACAGTTGAGGACACTGGGGCAGACAGGTTAAATGACTTGCTAGGATCACACAGGGAGGATGTATCTGAAGTCAAATTTGAACTCAAGTCTTCCTGACTCCAGGCCCAGCACTCTAGCCACTGTGGTGCCACCTAGCAGATGGAAATGGGGTCAAGGGCATTCCCAGAAGTTTGACTGATAGAAAGACAGAGGGAAGGAAGACAGCCAGTGTGCATGGAGCAGGATGATTTTAGGGGAATAGCAGGAGATAAAGCCGGAAAACTATTTTGAGATCACAGTGTAGGGAACCTTGAATACAAGGTAAGAAGAGCTGGAACTTTGTCCCAGAAGTAACATTAAGCCCTTGAAGGCTCAAAGAGCCAGGAAAGGATGTGATTAGCATGATGCTTGACTGAACTAGCAGGTAAGATAGACTGGAATTGGAGACCAGTTAGGAGGCAGGCTGTTGTGGCTGCCAAGGTTGAACAGAAAAGGCCACAGACTTGGAGGTTTCTTCCTGAACCCAATCCCCTCCCTCACCCCAAGCCTGAAATAAAGAAAAAAAACCCAGTTCACACCAGGTGACTTTTTGCAAGGTCAAATCAGGGCTCAAAGATGCTGAAGGCCAAGGCGGAAGGTGGGCTGCTTTCAGCTGCCAGCTGTCGTCATGCATCTCTGCCCAAGGTTCTCAGCTTTATTCAGTCCTCAAGGCCTGTCTTTCATGTGCTTTCTATGACTACTAAAAGAACTTTTGCCGCCCCCATCCCCCCCTCACAACAGCAAGAGAAGGCATCCATTTCCATCAACACCATCATCTACTCCCCACCCCCAGCATGTTCAGCTTTTGAGCAACAGCCTTAAAACACCAGCTGGAAGATCAGCTACGTGTCCCCTTCAGTTCCCACAGATTTGGGTGGCTCATTGAAAGAATCAGGATGTGGAGGTATAGTCAAGAATCATGTGTATACAAAGGGGCGGATCTTCCCCTGCTGTACCCCTTGAGTCTCTGCAGAAAATAAAAGCTGGCACAGCAATTTCCCCAAGCATAATTAGCCAGGAAAGTGGGGAGGGGAAGAGAGTGAGGGGTTCCTGAGAGACAGCTAAGTACTGAATCAGGAGCATTCAAGTCTTTCTAACACATTGGAATAAACGATTGCCAAGGTGAAATCATCCCCGTTGGGCTAGAAATAAATAGAGAAACATCTGTTAATGACAACTGCAGTCCATACATGAGAGTATTTATTGAAAACACAGTTACTGACAGGACATTCCTCGCCTGCCCTCCTAAGTTCTCTTACATTATAATCTTGGCTCAGAGTTCATCTTGTTTTTCCTTCTCTTGCCAATTTCATTTTTTCATGAAACATTCCATCCTAGAATAGGTGGATCTTATATAAATATAAATTATTTATATATGTATGTATGTATATATATATACACATGTCTGTATAAGTATGGCCTATAGTAGAGAAAATATATAGTACAATCTTCATTGGACCAGTACCTACCACATGAAACTACCATAACCAAATGCAGCTGTGTTCAAGTGGTGATGCCTGGGGACATTATGTGGTAATCTAGGAAAGTTCCATTTGCACAGCTGTAACTTCAGGCCAGCTCCCTGAAAACAAGGCATGAGGTAAAAGCCAAATTGGGGAGTGCCAGGCAGACTTCCTAGGGTCTGGAGACCAAAAGGAAATTGGAAACAGGTCGTGGGGCTGAAAGAGGCTGATCTTTCAGTTCAGGTTACCAGGATTGGTTTTTGCTCAAGGAAGGAATGAAGAAAATTAGATTTAGACTACCTTCAAATATCTGAAGTGCTGTCCTGCAGATTAGACCCATTCTGTTTTGTCCCAGGGGGTGAAAGTTACATGAAGATAGAATAAGGCCCAATAAAAGGAATAACTTCTTAACAAGAAGAGCTGTCCCAACTGGGATGGGCTGTCTCTAGAGGTAGTGAGCTCCCCACTACTGCAAGTCAGCAAGCAGAAGCTAGATGACTACTTGTTAGGGATGCTATAAAGAAGGAATTCATGCTTCAGGTAGGAGTTGCCCAATTACATGCCTCTGAGGTCCCTTCCATCTCCAACATTCTCTGTTCTAAGGTCCTTTCCAGCACTGACTTGGGTCCTGTGAAATTCAGCAACGTCACTCAGAGCCAAAAGCCAAGTGTACGGTGGTTTGTTTCGCTCTCTCTAGCCTTTAAGAGGCAAAGCTACTTCTGACAGAGAAGGGAGGCAGCAGTCGTATGGCTTTTCAACTGCAAGGAACCAGATGGGAGTGCCGCTTGGTAGAAACCTCTTGTTGCCCTGCCAGTTGCTGGGAGGAGAGATGTGGCAGTTTCAGAATTCAGAGAAACATTAGAGTTGAACTTCCATGAGAACAGCAGCAGCATCTTGGCACCATGTAGGGAGACGGGCACAAAAGGAGTCCTCCATAACAGAGTTAGAGCTCCTCTCTATATACAGCTCAGGTGTGCTGCCACCTCGGGGCTGTCCTTCCTCGAGTTCTCTGCCCCCCAGCTGCCCCGACCAAAGAGGAGTTCTGCTGGGCTGCCTCCAGCTAGTACAGGGGCCGCCCACCTAAGTGCTGCCACCTTAGTGGAAGTGTGTGCACTGTCTGCCCAGCCGGCTCAGGGCTGCCCTGTCTAGGGAGCAGAAGAGACGCTGCCTGCTCCCTAGTGTTCCAGCCTTTGCACAGTATTCCCTTTCCAGGCCCCAGAGTCTGATCCACAGTGGAAAGAAGGGAGGGCACAGAGGTTCCACTTCCCTACTTTTAGCTGACTGGAATCAATAGGAAGCTTTTGGGGCTAAGACATGGGGTTGAGGAGTAAGTGGCACGGGCCTGGCCACCACAGTCAGCATGGATTCTATACAAGCAAAGGACAAGGCCCCAGCATCTAAGCCCCTCCCTCCTGGGCCCAATCCTCCCTCCTGGTACAGCGACTCAGCCATAGTGGTAGACAAAGTCATAACTGCTGGGCTCCTTGGGAACAGGGGGAGGGGCCTCAGGGATCTGGATGTTCTCCAGGTCGAGCAGCCGAAGCTTCATCTCCATGCTCAGCAGCGTGTCCAGGTCACTTTTGGTCAGCTCACTAGACATGTCTTTCCCGAGGAGGGCGCTGAGGCCATCGATCCAGATACAATACTGTGGAGAATAACAACAACTCACACTTCTCTACTTGACAGTTTGCAAAGAGCTTTTCTCACATTTGCCCTGTGAAACAAGTAACATATTAGTCCCATTTTATAGATGAAGAAATTGAGGCTCAGAGAGTGAAATGGCTGTGCCCCTGGACACACAACTGTGAAGTGTTAAGAGGCATTGTCTGAATCCTAGGCTTCTGATGACAAGCCCATCATTTTTTTACACCAAGAGATACCTCTTCTGCATGCACTTGATGATGATGATGATAATAATAGCTAATATTTACATAGCACCTACTATGTGTCAGGCACTGTGCTAAGTGCTTTATAAATATTATCTCATTTGATTCTCACATCAAGCCTGGGAGGTAGGTGCTGTTATTATCCCCATTTTACAGATGGGGACACTGAGGCACATATGTTAAGTGATTTGCCCAAGGTCACACAGCAAGGAAGTGTCTGAGGCTAGATTTGTACTCAAGTCTTCCGGTCTCCAAGCCTGTCGCTCTATCCAGTGCCCCTCAGGCCAGCTCAGGCCAACAGTAGTGTTCCTCAAAGACAGCTCAGTTTGGGTGTACTTTGCTTTGAGCAACCTTCATCTATGAAAATCCAAATTCATACAAAGATGAATTAAGCAGGGATTGTTCACTTTACAAAAGGATCTTTCCCCTCTAACCTTAAAAAAAAAAGGATTCAAGATAGAATTCCTTTAAGTGGTAAGCTTTTCTAATGCATTTAAAACAAGAACTAATTTATAAAATTTGATTTACTGGAACTCGTTTATGATATAAAGTGAGGCACACCTGTAATTAACTTTGATGTACAGTTCATCAACTATTTGTGTTGTGTGGCCTTAGCAGTCAGGCCTAGAAGAATGAGAAGTTATTAGTGCCTAAACTGATGGTAAATTAAGGAGAATTCATTTGAGGAGGAGCATCTCCCAGGCCCCAAAATATTGAGGACCAGCTCAAACGTCACTTCCTTTTGGTTTTCCCAACAAACATTCTTTTGGGATTCCTGACTCACCCTGCTGTGTATTCCAGCAGTTTTTGTTCCTGTCTCACCCCCACAGCTCTCAGTGCTGAGTGCTGCAGGGCCTTTTGCACACATGCAGCTCCCTGCCTTGCACACGCTGCTCTTTCATCTGTAACGTCCTCCCTTTTACTCTTCTCTCCATGAAGCAAATCCTGTCCATCCTTCAAGGCCCAAATTAAGGTCCATCTCCTCAAGGATGAAGTCCTCCAGCTTTCTACTCACACAGCATTTTGTTTTTAATTTAATACTCTTAAGGAGAGGCAGTCAGGCACAGTGGATAAAAGGTAGGCTTTGGAGGCAGAAGACTTGGGTTCAAGTTCTGCCTCTGACATATGCTAGCTATGTGATCATGGGCGAGTCACTGATGCCAACAAGAGGCCCAAGGGCCCAGTAAGAGCAGGCCTCAAGAGCCATTCTCTTTCCCTGCTCCAGCCCCTACTGCCTAGTTCCCACCCGGTGCTAGATGCACTGTCATGGCTAGATAGTGACTCTCTCCCTCCCCCTTTCTTCACCATAAGGAAGCAACCCAGGGCCCTCTTCCACTCCAACTCTTGGTCCCACTACCCCCTCCCAATAGTCAATTGATGAGCCACTGCTCCCCTAGGTCAACCACTGGCCTGTATGGCACTAGGGCTTTATCAGCTGTCCTGACACTGAACTGTCCTGGAGGGTTGCTACCTACCTAATTAGAATGAAAGAAAGGACTGCCTCTCTTTCCTATTGGTATTTCAGCACCCAGCACAGTGCTGGGATTTAGAAAGTGCTTAAGACGGGCTCTTCTATTCCATTTCATGAAACCTCCTCATGCCCCTAGGCAACTCTCTAGAGCTCTACATCACAGCCAAGTGGCTGTGTACATCAGTAGAGATAGTTTCCATACACAGAGAGTTCCCTGCACTGAAGAAATAATATGAAATAAAATATTTCATGATGAAATCATGAAAGCACTGGCTAAGAGTGCACTTATACAGTGTTCCATACGTAACAATCTGATTTCTTACCCCTCTGCTAAAATGGAGTCCCATGAAGTCCAGAGCCAGGCCTCAGCTTTGTACTTTCCCAGGGCCAAGCACCCGCAAGTGCTTATTTAATAACCAGTTACTGAATTAATAGTTTGTAAGAAGCCTTGTAGGCCTTCATTTCCCCCAGTTCTTGCCCCTACACATGGAAGTGGTAACAGAGGGACATGGGTTGGAATTGTGCTCATTTTACAAACAGACACAACATCCTCAGTGATATAAGATAGCCCTCCACGTCTGAGTGGGTGGCACTGGGAGCCTTGTCCCTCAGACAATCACCTTGGGATCCCACTCCCATGATGCAGGCACTTAGAACCAAATGCAGCTACCCTAGGGGCTGACCCCACTCCAGCAGCCAAATTTACACCCCCCCCCCCCCCCCCACCCCGCGGCCAAAGAGCCACAATCAAAGCACCTTCTTCCCTACCGCTTGGTGCCAGTGCCAGTGTTATCATCCCCATTCTGCATATCATGAAACTGAGGCTCAGAGACAGACTGATTGTGCTAAGGCTAGTGAGAGGGGGCTGGAAATCCAGCCCCTCAACTCTCAGCTTTTTCCATTACATTAGATCGCACAATAGGGCCTTCCTATTCCAAGGAAGCCCTACGCTCACCTCATACTTATTAGGAGCGATGAAGTTTAAGGTCTCATCAGGATCATACAGGATGGAGAAGGCCAATTCCAATACTTCCTGAGAGGAAAATCACAGTATCAAAGAATGTGAAAGTTGGGGAGGACACTGGAATATAAAATGACAGAGCTGGAAGGACTCTTCCAGCAGAGAATGTCAACACCTGGAAGTTATCTTGTCCACCCCTCCTCACTTTATGGATGAGGTCTTCTAGCTCAGTTTGGGGCTCCTTTCAGTACATCACACTGCTGCTGGGTAGGGCAAGGATTATCACCATATGAAAAATGCAAACCCTGAGGCCCAGAAAAGAGATGTGATTTGGCCAAAGTCACACACCAAGTTAATGAAAGACCTAAATTAGAACCCAGTTATTCTGATTCTCAGTCAACTGAAACGGTTCATCTGAAGCATTAGAAGAACTGCATCTTTTTTTCAGAGGCCTTAACCCAGACTCTGAACAATTCACCACCTTCAAATGTCTCAATTCAATGTGAGGAAATAGATGGTACACAAAATGAGGCATGTCTCTAATCAAACAGCTCACCTATGTTAACATTTTGCCTATGCCCTACTTAGCTCCTTAGTCCTCAGCTAATGACACACAAACTCCCACCTTCCTAACTCACCTTGTTCTGCTTGAGAGCACTTTTCTCTTTCATATGAGGACAATCCTTCCCAGTAACAATGGCCTTGATATCTGCAACAGGAACTAAAAAAGAGAAATGGTCAAATGGGAGGGCAATTTGACTCTTTTTGAAAGCTTGAAACTACAACCTGGCCTCTAGGCAAATTAGTTTGGTTTTATAAAAGTTAATATCAAAGGATATAACAGGCAGTATTCAAAAGAAATGCAAGCTATCAACAACCATGTGAATGTTGTAAATTACACTGATAAAATAAGAAATGCAAATTAAAGCAACACTAAGGTTTTACCCTACATTCATCAGATTGATAAAAATGACAAAAAATGAAAATAGTAAAGGTTGGAGGGATTGTAGGGAGATGAGCACCATGACACACTGATGGTGGGGCTGTGAATTAGTCTAACTATTCTGGAAAATAATTTGGAATTACACTAAAATCATTAAACTGTACATATCCTTTGACCCAGAAATAACAACACAAAGTATACACTTTAGGGAGGTCAAAAATAGAATGAGTGATCCCACAGATACAAAAAAAAAATTATAGTACCATTTTTTGTGCTAGCAAAAAACCGTAATGAGTGCCATTACTTAGGCAATGGTTGAACAAACAGGTCTGTGATGGAATATTATCGTACCATAAGAAAGACAAACAAAAAGAATTTAGAGAAACTTAACACTCTTATGAACAGATGCAGAACAAAGTAGAACTAAGAAAATAATTTACTTAATGATCACAAAAAAAGTTACACTAAAAGTCTTCAGAACTCTAATCAGTGCAATAACCAATTACTCCAGAAGATTGGAAACCAATTCTCTCTTCTAGTCAAATAGGTGGTAAAATATGGGTGCAGAATAAGGCAGTCACTGCCAGAGATGAATAATGTATTGGTTTATTTTGCTTAACTTCTGTAACTTCTCTGAGCCTCAGTTTCCTCATCTGCAAAATGGATAAGATACTACTTACCCTACTTACCTTACAAGACTGACCAATGGCTCCTGCCAGGACTTCCATAAGGTTAACAGAATTAACTGAAGGTTCCAAGGCCCCGCAACCTTAGAACGATCTTTGACTCTTCCTTCTCCTTTCCCCCCTCACCCTATATCAATCAATCCATCAATAAGTATTTATTAAGTGCTTACTATGTGCCAGACAAGACATCGATACCAAAAAAACCAAATAAATAAATAAATGAATAACTGTTCCTGCCCTTAAGGGACTTACACATGAATGGGAGAGAGAACATATCTAAATGTGAACATGGAGGACAAACCCAGAGTAGATGGAAGGTAACCTTAAAAGGAACAGCACTTGCAGCTGAGGAGACAACTGCAGATCTCCTAGAGGAGGTAGCACCTGAGCTGACTCCTAAAATCTGTTCCCTCTGCTCCATCAACAAGGCCATCATTCCAGTTCTGGGTCTTATCAGGGGATGTTTTCAATCTTTGAATTCTCAGTCCCTAGCATACTGCTTTGTGCAAAGCAAATGACTAATGTCTTTTGAATAAATGAAAGGTCAGAGGGCTGTGGGAGTACAGCCCATCTGTCCCAGGGATTTCTCCCAGACCTGGGCCCTCACACCTATTCAACCATGATTATAATAGTATCACCAATACTTTAGACTCAGAGAGCATTTTATATTTTCCAAAGCACTTTCACATTCATCTGGTCCTCACAACAATGACATGAAGTGGGTAGTAACAACAGCTCCAAATTCTATACTGCTTTACATTTTACAAAGCACTTTTACCATGGGAGCCCTGTAAGACAAGGAGGGCGAGTATTATTATTCCTATTTTATAAATGAAGAAACTAAGACTCAGAGAGTTGAAATAACTTGTTTAAGGATATGCATCTAACTTCTGGCTAAGCCAAGACTTGAACCCATGCCTTCTGACCCCAAGTGTAGTGTTCTTTCCATTATTACACACTGCCTCTGGGTAAGACACAATTTATCATTGTCATTTTAGAGATGAGGAAACTAAGGTCCAGAAAGAAGTGATCTGCCCAAGGTCACACAGTAAATTAGAACCAGCGCCAACACTATAACACCAGTTTCCAGTTAGTGCTCTTTCCATTATTTATCAAAAGAGTAACAAAGCTGCACCTACTTTTCTCCTGTAGGGATTCGAAGGTCACCTCCCCCTGAGGGTTGTCATCCAGATCTCCATAGTGCAGAACCTTATGGTTCAGGGCCAACCGGCAGTACCAGAACCGCTCTGAAATACACAGGAAATGATCACAAATCACCACAGCTCACAGTTCTAAAGTGGGGCCAGGACGGCAAAATACTTGTCTCAACAATCCTGTGAGGTGTGTTATCCCAGATTCCCCCTCCTCTATTCTGAGATCCAGCCAAAATGGCCTTTTCTCTGTTCCTTGAACACCACCCTCCCATCTCCCATCTCTGTGCATTTGCTCTGGCTGTTCCCCACACCCAGAATGCCCTCCCCCCTCACCACTGCCCAACAGAATCCCCCTTCATCCCCCAAGATGGAGCACAATGCAGACTGAAGAATTCTTTTTCTATTTTCTTTATTTTTCTTGCCCCCGACTTTTTTTTTTTTTTTGGCAACACGGCTAATGTGGAAATGTTTTGCAAGACTTTACATGTATAATTAATATCACATTGCTTTACTTCACAATGGGTGGGGAGGAGCTGGGAGGAAGAAAATTTGAAGCTCAAAAATTTAAAAAAGAATGCAAAGAATAAGTAATAATGAGGGGGGTGGCAATGGTAGAATGGAGCTCACACAGTACCTTCTATAGGAAGCATGTCCTCAGTTCTCCAAATCCTAGTCTCTCCCAAACTATCTTGCATTTAACTACCTTGTACCTTTCCCCCATTAGAACATAACCTCCATAAAAAATATCCCAATAAAACTTATTTTTTAAAAGAGGAGGCAATCTGCTGTTCAGAAGGAATTGTTTCATCCATTGTATTTGTATCCCTAGTGCCTAGTACAATGCCTAACACATAACAGGCACTTAAAAAATACTTCTTGATTAACTGAAGTAGGTGGTCGAAATATGGTCCCTGGTTTTCTGATGAGGAAACAGTGGCTGAAGGAGAGGAACTGAATTGCCCAAGATGGTATATCTAGGGATGTCTGAGCCTAGGCTCCCTGACTCCAGGAAAGTCAGGGGGAGCAGCTCTGAAAAAGCCCCAGAAGGAGTAGAAGAAAGTTTGTTCTAAGTCTGTTCCCCTAATCAGGTACAAGGTGTGTTGGTCCTAGTGTGGCCAGAGCTGCCCTCCATCTCACCCTGCCGTCGCCGATTCCCAATTTTCCGGAAGCTGCTCCCCTCACAGAGCCGATTCAGCCGTTGCTGCTTAATTAGCTCCAGGATCTCTGGCTGGATCTTCTCCCTTAACTCCCTGGAGAAGGATGCACAACAGAATAAAGATTAGTTCATGGAGGCAGTTGAAACTCTCAAAGGGAGACAAAGCTGGCAGCTGCTTCCTCTTAGATGCCCCACAAGACTTACACAATCGGTGGGGACTGGAAATCATCCTGACTCATCCTCTCAGACTGGCGCAATCTCAGAATCTCCGAGTAGCTCAGGCTCCGAAGTTTGCTCTTGAACTGATCTAAAGAGTTGGGCTTAGAGGGCAAAGCCCGGGTAATCTGCTCTCGTACCACTTGCATAACCTGAGAGAAAAAGGGTATGAGCACCACTGCTGTGATGGCACTGGGCTGGGAGCTAGACCCTAGTCCTGTCTCTGGCACTAATTTGGTGTAGTCCAAGGAAACCCATTTAAATGTAATTCAACATTCATAAAGCACCTACTACATATGAGGCCCTATGCTAGTCACAGTGGCTACAAAGACAAAACAGCCCCTGCCTTCTTCTGCTGAGGGATTCAACATGTACAAGAATATAGGAGAAGGGAAACTGAGGAAGGAGAGAACACTCACAACTGAGATCAGGGAGGGCTTCAAGTAAGAAGTGACCCCTGAGATGAGCTTTGAAGAAGGCTAGGGACTGAGAAGTGGAAATGAGGGACAAGTTAGATCTAAACATGTGGAAGGTTTGTGTACATGTAGGGAGGTGGAAAAGCAAGTACCAGGCTTGCGGAATGTCTAGCAGTTGGGGTGACTGGAGTGTAGAGTTTGTGAAGGGAAGTAGTACGTAATAGAAACAGAAAGGTAGGTGAGAGCCAAATTGTGGAGGGCCTTAAACGTCCGACTAATTAAAGAGTTTTTTATCTTATAGGCAATGGGAGCCCACTGAAAGTTTATGAGTGGGGAAGCTACACAATCAGGCCAATGCCTTAGGAGATTATTTTGAAGTTTCAAACTGTCACTGAGTGATGGAGGGTAGAATCAATCAAAGAAAAATAAATATTTGGCCATGCCTTTAGTCAGGGCCTTACTGAAATAGTAATTTCCCTCCCTGATTCTCAATTTCCTTCTTTGTAAAATGACAGGAGTTTGGGCTAGATTGTCTCTAAGATCCCTTTTAGATCTGACATTTTGTGAGGATTTAAAGAACTCTTAGCATTTTGAGGACTTTACAAATAAAATTTGCATTTTCATAGTGATTTAAGATTCTACAAAGTGCTTTCCTCAAAACAACCCTGTAGAGCAATGAAATCCTTATTTCCATTCTACAGATGAGGAAGGTGAGGCTCTGAGAGGTGAGGGGCCTTGACCTAAATGCTACAGAAGTAGCTGCTTAATGAAGGAATATACCTTGGTGCTTCAACCCTGGCAAGTGCTATGAAATGTAAAAATAAAATTTCTTTACCACATGCTTAGATAGAAAGGAATTTACTTGCCCAAAGCCACAAGTGCTAGGGAAGTTTCTAATCAATTACCTTCAATTACCATTTTCAGCTTTAGGAAGACCCGTCACCTAATATGATTCTAACTAGGTGCTAAGTGCTATAAATTTCTGTGCCCACAGCAAAGTCCTGACCACAATGCCCTAGTTACAGCTCTCGTAGTTGCTGCTAAGACATTTGAGCTTGCTGTGACAATCCACACCAAACCTAATCTACCTTGCAGCACTCTGCAGTCTGACAGTAACAACAATTACAGGTAAGGCACTCTGCTCCCCATGTCTGGCTTAAAAGAAGAGTGGTGTGGAAGAATGGGAAAAAGGCACCAGACTAGCAGTCAGGAAAGATGGCTTCACCCTCACTAGCCCTGTGCCTCTGGGCCAAAATGCTTTGTCTCTCTAAATCTCAGTTTCCTCCTCTGTAAATGGGGATAATGGTTTTCTGCTCTGCCTTCTTCACAACACCCTGGTGAGGCTGTGTGAATCTTATGGCACACTAGACATGGGCACTGTTATTATCGTTATCTGACTAGCCAACCTGCACTGACTCTTGGGTCTCAGCTAGAAGCAAAGTCTGCTCAGCTCTTTCTGCCCTGGGCAGGTTCCCCAGCACAACAATGACCTTGTTGAAATCTTCTGCTGTTGCCCTCATCTCCTTCCAAGTCTTGTTCAGCAGCTGGATGCATATTCCAAAGAGCTCCTCAAATGCTCGGTCATGAGTGAAGAACATTGGGTGGTAGTCATTCCGTCCTTCATTTGCTGTGGAGGAAAGAGAATATGGGAAAAGGATGAGGGCCCCTCCCTAGGACCCAGGTCTAGAGCCTCTGTGGCTTCAAAGGCAGAGGGGAAATGCAACCAAGAACCCCAGGAACTGCTGGGTGAGATGGGCCCGAGCCCCACCTGAAGACTTCTCTCATCTGTAGGTTTCTCCCCCTTCCTGACCATCCCACGTTTCCTGATACAGGACAGGATGCAGGCCCATCAACTGCCAGAGGTGATTCATTCTTCTGTCACTAGCCAGAAGCACCCACTCGATATCTTTGATCAGCTAATATCTTATCCAGCTGATTCCTCTTCCCAAGAACAGGGTAGAGTCTCTTGACTCACATAGGGGTCTGGCCACTGATCCTCCTTGGGACTACGGAATGCTTCCCTGACCTACCCTTAGGTCCTGCATTTCCATCTCCTTACCTCCACTGCGGGATAACAGAATAGGTGAGCTGGTGGAAAGCAGTCCAGTCTCATCTCAACCAGGACTAACCTTTTAGAATGCAGGGATGATGGGGGAGATAGTAAAGAGTCAAAAGACCTGAGTTAGAGACCTGCCTATGCTCTTTACCAGTTGTGTGGACTTGGGCAAAGCCCTCGTAATTTCTCAGAACCTGAAACTCCTCATCTATAAAATAACTACTCTCCCATTTTTGCATTTTAAGGGTAGAGAGAGCTTTCCTAACAATAGCCATGGGAGAGAGATCTTCATTCTGTGGATCATCCAGTTAACAGCAAAGTAGAAGAGTTGGTATCCTAACTCGTGTTCTCCTGACACTCGGGCAAGAATTCTTCTCCTTACACCACACTGAGTATTCAGGAGGCAGTGACAAGGCGGTTTCACCTCACTAGTTTTCTTGGTCAATCTACTCTCACACGACCACTATGCTGGGGGTGTGCGTAGCCCAGAGCACTGGATTTAAAATCAAAAAGGCTGGATTTGAGTGCTGACTTTGCCATTCGTTAGCTCTGTAACTGAGCATCCCTCTGTAACTTTCTATCCCCAGTTTTCTCACCTGTAAATGGAGATAATACTGGCATAACCTGCCTTGCAAAAATGTTGTGAAAGCAAATTGAATAATATACATAAAACACTCTGACATGTGACCAGGAAGTACATTGTTATTCTTGTTGTCACAGTGAAGGGTGGATGAACGTAGCAGTGCCAGAAAGACTTACGCAGCTCTCCAACTTGCAGAATCTCACACAGCATTTTGGTGAGCTCAATGGCACTTCGACCAAAGGGACATTCATGTTTGTCCTCCCGACTGCTATTCTCCAGGACAATCTGCCAAGAAAGAGAAAGAATTAGGGGGGCAGCTAGGTGGCGCAGTGGATAGAGCACCGGTCCTGGAGTCAGGGGGACCCAAGTTCAAATCCAGCCTCAGACCAAACACTTGACACTAGCTGTGTGACCCTGGGCAAGTCACTTAACCCCAACTGCCTAAAAATAAAATAAAAAGGGTGCAACAAACAAAGCCAATGCAAACAAGATTAGAAGGGAAGCATAAAGTTGGGAAACAATTTTTACAACCACTGTCTCTGATAAAGGCCTCATTTCTAAAATATATAGAGAACTGAGTAAAATTTATAAGAATACAAGTCATTCCCCAATTGATAAATGGCCAAAGGATATGAACAGGCAGTTTTTGGATAAAGAAATTAAAGTTATCAATAGTCAAATGAAAAAATGCTCTAAATTATTACTGATTAGAGAAATGCAAATCAAAACAACTCTGAGGTACCACATCACACCTATCAGACTGGCTAACATGACTAAACAGGAAAATGATAAATGTTGGAGAAGATGAGGGAAAATTGGAACACTAATACATTGCTGGTGGAGTTGTGAACTGATCCAACCATTCTGGAGAGCAATTTGGAACTATGCCCAAAGGGCTACAAAATTGTAGCATACCCTTCAACCCAGCAATACCACTTCTAGGGCAGTATCCCAAAGAGATCGTACAAATGGGAAAAGGACCCACATGTACAAAAATATTTATAGTAGCTCTTTTTGCAGTGGCAAAGAATTGGAAATTGAGGGGATGCCCATCAATTGAGGAATGGCTGAACAAGTTGTGGTATATGAATGTAATGGAATACTACTATTCCATAAGAAATGATGAGCTGGTGGACTTCAGAAAAACCTGGAAAGACTTACATGAACTGATGCTAAGTGAAGTGAACAGAACCAGAAGAACATTGTATACAGTAACAGCAACACTGTGCAATGACTAACTTTGATAGACTTACCTCTTCTCAGTAATGCAAGGATCTAAGACAACTCCAAAAGACTCATGATGGAAAATGCTATCCACATCCAGAAAAAGAACTATGGAGTCTGAATGCAGATTGAAGCATACTATTTGCTCTCTTTTTTTTTTGTTTGTTTCTTCTTTCTTGTGGTTCCTCCCATTGGTTCTAATTCTTCTTTACAACATGACTAATGTGAAAATATGTTTAATATATATATAGTATATGTAATATGAATGTATATGTTTAATATGATCTATATCAAATTGCACACCATCTTGGGGTAGGGGGAGAAAATTCAGAACTCAAAATCTTATGGAAGTAAATGTTGAAAACTACAAATAAACAAATTTTAAAAAACAAATAAAATTTAAAAAAAGAATTAGAGTGCAAAGACAGACAAAAATCTGGGTGAAATATGATTAAGAACCAGGGTCCAGGGTAAGTCTTTTTTTGTCTTTACCCGGATATAGGTATCCTGATGGACTTTGGCCAAGTAAAGCATGTTGTCCAGAGCCAGCATCCCTGGAGGAGTCTGGGTAAAGTCCATCGCTGGGTTGATATGGTTCTAGCAGAAAAAAGAAACGCCACATGAACATTAGCACCTCTCAGTGTATTTCTTCATCCAAAGTGAAAAGCTCCTATGAACAATCTTGTGAAACCACTGCCCCCTTGCCCTAAAGGCTATGCTCAGCTAACCATGCCAAACTTCTTATGACTAGGTTGATATCACAGTGTAATGATTCTCTGTTTATTTTGTAACCTTGGGCAAGTCACTTTACCACTGTAAAATGTGAATAATAATCCCGGTACTACCTCTTGGGATTGTAGTGAGCATCAAAGAATATAACATGTACAGACTCTATAACCTTAACATGCTATATAAATGTTAGCTATAATCTGTGAAAGGACAGCTCTACCTATGGACTCAATTATGGGGTTCAAGTTTTACACTTGATCTGGCAAACTCCCAAGAGCCTAAGGCCTGTAAACATGTAGCCCAGGGTGTAGGGAGACAAGGCTGGAGGCACAGGCAGGAGAGGACCACTAGGGTACATACAGTGAATCCCAGCATCTTGTAGTCCTTGGTGTACATGGCTTTTCGTTTCTCTGTCCCACTGCCAGTGACGCTTGTAGGGTCAGTCTCCGCATCAAATGCAATTCGCCTTAATTCAAATATGATATCTCTTTGTGCCTGAGGGAAAACAAATATAACTGCTCAGATACCTAAGGTATGTTTGAGAGAACAAATAGCAGGGCAGCTTCTTTGGGAATTCTGGTCCCAAACTGTATCATTGGTGGCGCCATCTCTCTTTTTTATTTTAAAATTTTTATTGATTTTTTTTGTTTACATATCACCTTCATTTGCCAACATATCCCTTCCCCATCCAGAGAACCATTGCTTATGACAAAGAATAAAAAAAGAAATATAGAATAAATTCCACAAAAGTAACCTATACAACAACCAAATCTGACATTATAAGCTGTGTTCACCACCCACTGTTCCCCCACCTCTGAAAAAAAGGAAGAGTGCTACCACCTCTCTTTCAGTACAGAAAAGAAAAAGACTAGGCAAGTAACCCCTTTATCTTGGTTGATTAGCAGTGTGTTAGTACCAGATCTTAATGTTTCCAGGGTTAGGTAAAATAAGTCCTAGAGATGTCACTGGCTATGAAGGGTCACAAATAGGTTACTGATCACAAAAAGCAGGGTCAATAACATATGCTTGAGACTTCTCATTTCCCTGGTAGGAGGGCAGAGAACAGTATCACTGAGTCTACCATTAACCTGATCATTAGGGTCCATCTTGGTCATCATCCTCTCTTCCAAAAGGTTAAAGGTCAGGACTTGAAGTACATAGAGCTGATGAGCCATCTCGGTTTTGATTGGGCGATTTCCCCGAATTACATGCTGAAAAATCCAAAGGGCAAGGAAGAGAGGATTGATTGAAAATACCTATTACAGAAATCTTTTACTCTTCCTTGAGTGATTCTATGTTGCACTCCCCAAACTCATACCAAAACTACTCTTCTTAAGACACCCAACACTGAGTCATACACCCCACCCCCCAGCAGAAAACCTTGACAAATACTTTATCAAGAGAGCAGAGGCTCTTAATTCAACAATTCAAATCACCCTTATCTTTCATTCTCTCCTCCTCAGTACTGGTCTTGTCCGAAGAGATGGCCCTTTGCCGTGTCAATGCCAAGCCCTTTTTACTTGCACCCTTTATATCATTCATTCCCTTTCATCTCTCCAGGAGCTTCTCCTTTAATAAACCCCTTTATTCTCCCTAATTTTCTTTTAAAAACTGTATTCTTTGTTATTATGAACTTAAACACCACAATCATGAACATTTTCATATAAAAGAAGAACAGAAACAAGAGGAGTATATATACAATAGTGAATATGCAGCTTGTTTGTTTTTTTTTTTAAAGTATATAAACTCACAAAGCTATCCAGCTTGTCTCTATCTTCCTCTGAACTGCCTTCTGTTCTATTCAGGGCATTTTAAAAATGTTTCAGTGATGCTTTTCTTTTTTCTTTTTGGGGAGCATCATCACTAGCCTCCCACTCCCCTTTCAATTTTCTTTCCCCCCCCAATAAAAACAAAAACTCCCACCCTTACAAATACTCATAATCAAATAAAATAAATCCACCCACTGGCCATCTCCATAAGTGCATAGCTCATTCTACACCTTTAATCTATCACCTTTCTGTTAGGGAGAGAGAACATGCTTCACTGGGAGATGGGTGGCCTAGCAGATAGAGTGTTGGATTTAGGGTCAGGAAGACCTAAATTCTAATCCTTCCTCCAACACTTACGAGCTGAGTGACCGTGAACAAGTGACTTAACCTCTGGCAGCCCCAGTTTCCTCATCTGTAAAGTAGGAATAACAATAGTACCTTCTTCACAGGGCTGTTGTGAGAACTAAACAACATACAAATAATATATTTTACATGTTTTGTAAGCCTTAAAGTACTCTAGAAATGTTAGCTATTAGTAACATCATCATCAATCCTCTGGAGTAACAGCTGGTCATTGAATTCAACAAAGCTTTTAAGTCTTTCAAAACCGTAAGTTGTTCTCCTGGTTCTGTTCACTTCATTTTGTATCATTTCATGCAAGTCTTACCAAGTTTCTATGAATACATCCCTTTTGTCATTTCTTGTGGTGTAATAACATTCCATGATATTCATATGCCATAATTTTCTGTCATTCCCCAATTAATGGGCACTCCCTAAATCTCCAGTTGCTTACTATAACCAAAAAAGTACTTCTCTGAATATTTTTGTACATATGGGTCCTTCCCTTTTACTGTGAACTCTCTGGGGTGTCTGCTCACTAGTGGTGTTGCTGGGTTAAAGAGTATGCATAGTGCAGTGACATGTTAGGTAGTGTCCTAAATTGTTTCCCAGAATAGCTGGCCCAATTCTCAGCTATACCAATACCGCATTAGTTTTCTGGTCCTCTCATACCCCTTCAAAAATGGTCATTTTTCCGTTTTTTGTCATCTCTGCCAATCTGATGGTGCAACTATGAACTGGTCTAACCAGTGTGCAAAACAATTTGGAATTACAAAAAAACGAAGTAAAATGTCCATAGCCTTGTTCCCACCACTAGGCATCTGCCTTAGGTAGGTTAAAGACAGAAAGAATGCTCCCAAAGATACCAAACTATTCACTGTAGTATTTTTTTAGCAACAAGAAAAGAACTAGAAACAAAGTAGGTACCCCTCAACTAGGGAATGGCTAAATAAATTGTGATATATAGATGTAGACTATTACTGAGCCATAAGAAATGACAGATATGAGGGGATCAGAGAAACATGAGAAGACTGAGATGAACTGATTGCAATGCAAAGTAAAGAGAACCAGGAAAACAGTATGTGTGAGGACTACAACAAACTAAAAGGAAAGAACATTAAAATGAATCTGAGCACAATGTAATTATATATGAGCAAGCTTTGCCCCAGACAAAGGATGAGAATATGTACCTCCCTTTCACTCGACAGGTGGGGGACAGCTGTGAAATGTGGCATGAGCCATTAAATACAGTCAATGTGTCTGCTCATTGATTTTGCTGAAGTCCCTTCAAAAATTTTTGGTAAAAGGGAAAATTTGCTGGGGAGCAGAGGAAAGCAACACTATATTCCAAAATGACTGTGATGTCAAAACAAAAGGCATCAATAAACTTTACAAAATAAATATTTGTTGAACAGAAGAGCCAAATCTGAATGAGTGAGAACTATAATAACTTCTGCAATACTTTTAAGGTTTGCAAAGTACTTTCCTCACAACAACCCTATGAGACAGTTAGTTAAAGCACTATTATCCCCATTTTCCAGATGAGGAAACTGAGGCTCAGAGTGGTTAAATCACTTGCTCAAGGTCACACAGCTAGTAGGACAGAGCCAGGATTCAAACCTCACCTTCTACACTGCTCTTCAATAGACAGAGTTTTAGGGCCACAGCTTCTCTCCTGTGCACAAGGACTTTCTCTCCTATAAGAGATGATCTTGGCTCTTTCATACAACTTCTCCATATGGGAATGACCACAGGCTCTTCCTTTCCTTTCCGTGTAAAATCTCAGGGGAAGGCCCCAAGCCCACCTACCCACTAAGGATATCTCTAGGCTCACTTCTGCTTGACAGTTTTGTATTTCAGAAGTCTTTGATACCTCTGATATCCCCTATATGCTGTCCCCTTCCTAAAAAACAATAGGCTGTGTATCACAAACTTACATTCAAGATTATGTTCCGAAGGTGCTTCTGTGCAAATGCATTGGCCATATCCTGTTGAGAAAATTAAGGTAAGCATGAGGTGAAAGAGATGGACATACATAGATGAAGTTAAGGATCATTGATTTAGCGCTGGATGGGACCTTACAGGTCATCCTGTCCAGTCCTCTCATTTTACAAATGAGGAAACTGGGCCAAGAGAGTGTAAGTGATTTGCTCAAGGTCTGCAAGTCACAGAAGCAGGTCCTGAGCTCAGGTCTCCAGATCTGAAATCCATTACTCCTTCCACTGTCCATGCTGCCTCCTTCTATGGACCCATCCCACTCCATTAACTCCTATCAGGGTGAACACAGCATGGGGATCATACATGCAGCTTGATTGTTATTCTTGCTATCATTTTCAAGTTTTTCTGTTGACATGGAAATAGGAATGTGTGGTAAAATGAAGAAAATGCAGTTGGTTGTTTTTTAACCAAAAAACAACTACATTTTTATTTCCCAAACATTTTTTGTGCAAGTCCAAATAATTCACAATGTAAACCAGTGTATTGTCTTCAAAGAGAAATGTGAATTGGTTCAGTCTGAGAAAGATGTTATGAGGAAATCAAATGGACACTTCACACAGAGAACAGATGGTCAGCAGACGGTGCTGCTCCCTAAGCTATGACGGACATAGGGGACTGTGGCTACAGGAGCTCCCAGCCAAATGTTGCTTCGAAAAGGACCAAGAGGTAACGTCCTTTTGGTCCATGTCCTACCTCCCTCAAATCCACTTCAGAGAACTCACATTTCCTTGGTGCTTTATAACTGTCCTCCCCAAAGCACTGCAAGGGAGACACTGGCAGTAGAGAAGAAAGTTTGAGAGAATTTCATTCCAGTGGCAGAGGGAGGACAAGAAGTGGAAGAAACCACCAAGAATATTACATAATCACAAAGTAATTTCTACTTTGTACTAGAATCACAGATCTTAGGATTAAAGAAACCCAAGAGATCCAGGCATGACAGACCTGGGCTGTGACACTCCCTGGTGCTCTGACCCTGAGCATCTCTATCATTTCACCTCTCTAGGCCACATTTTCCTCATCTGTAAACTGGAAATAATACCTAGCATAAAGAAGTGTTGTGAGCAGAGAACTTTGCATGTATGAGTCCTTTATTTGTTTTTACTTTGGCCTATGTTTTCATCAGGGTAGACAGCCCGGGTTAGGCACCCCCAAGACACTGCAGAATGGCAAGCTCTCTGCATTTCAATTGTCTTAGAGCCACTGGTAGAGGAGTACAAGTTGGGGCATGAGAGGGTCAGTGACTCCCCAAGGGTCACATGACCAGGATCACAGAGGCAGGGCTTCAGTTCAGATATTCTTAGTCTCTCAAATGAATTTCATCATCATCATCATCATCATCATCATCATGTCTGATCCCTTTTTACAGGGAAGGGAACTGAGGCCCAAGGAGAGAAAATGACTTCTCAAGGTCATGCTGGGTTCACATCTAGAGGCAGAGATAAGGCCAGAAGCTTGATGAGGGTCCTGACTCCTTGTCTAGGGAGCCACTCCTGCCTTACATTTTCTCCCCTAATGGATTTACCTTCCTGACTACATTCTATTCCCACGAATGGGTTAACATTTCATTATTCTAGCATTGTTGGGGAATGAGCTATTCCACATAACTGGATTTTCAGGTGAAATTTTCCCCTTTTATGTGCCAAGATATTTTTTTTAATTTTAGCTCACCCTGCCACCCCAAAAGAGCAATTTTTCTTAAACTTATTATACATTTCTGCCTTCTCACACCCAACACAATGAAAATGATTAATCTTTTCTTAGGGGCTCCTCGTTATCACTATGATCATCAGTTATTGTTTTGGGCCTTAACAGAGTGATTGATGCCTTTGCAGGCCTTGCTATTGAACCCTGTTGGGGTTTTTTGTCCCTATGCTTAGTGATCCCAGAAACCCGGGTTTTACAGTTCTCTCTATCATTCTGACTTCTCTCCTGCTCTCAGAATGTCTTCAATGCTTCCAATCTGCTACCTTATTTTATAAACAATTCTGAATTTAGGGACACAATGCTGGTTCTGCACCTCACCTATGGAGTAAAGTATGCTTGGGTGCCCCTTTTGAGAGGCAGCCAGGCACTGTGAACAAAAAGTTCAGAAAAGACCAGCTGGATGTAGCCACCTCCAGGCAATTGAAGCCTCTCACAGAAATGACTCAATCTCATGAAGCAGTAATTAGTTAGCTCACATTTATAGAGCACTTGAAAACCACAAAATGCTTTGTATTTTTTATCTGTAAGCTATTTGAAGGACCAAGTCATTATCTGTTTTTGTATACCCAATACCAGGTCCTGGGTCTGAACAGTATATGTGCATAAGATTTGTTGAATAGAAATGAATTTCATTGATCCTCCCAATAATCCTGGGAGGTGGTTGTAAGAAGACTATTATCGCCATTTTACAGATGAAGAATTTGAAGCTAAGAAAGAATATGTGACTTGCCCATAGTCACGCTAACAGTACATAGCAAAAATGGGACTCTAAAGCAGGCCTTCCCACTCCAAACCCCATGCTCTTCCCAAGTTTGCTGCTACCTCTAGTAAAGTGGAAAATAAGTTATGCATTACATCTGACCCTGATCTTCCCAGGCTGAATATTGGGGCCTATATAAAGGCAGGTGCTGACTGGGTGTGGAGACGTGGATACAATGTGTAGAGCCCCTCAGATTGCACAGTGCATGTGCCCTCCTTCACTGCCAGCTGGGGCCTCCCCCCCCCCAAAAGCAGAGACTGTATCTTCGGAAAGCTGGAGCAGGGCCCTTCCAACGGGGCAGAGCTACTTACAGTAACAGGCAGGTCTAGAGGATTAAGAAGCTTGTCCTGCCGGCAGAGAGCAGAAAGCACAGAGAGAGGCAGACAGGAATTAGCTTTCAGCTTAGGAGCAAAACGAGTACTGGGAAGGAAGAGGTTAACACAGCAAAGCCATACAACAAGGACAGACACAGACAGATGCATTGATACCCCCAGTCCTCCAGCCAAGAGTGTGTCAAGGGGTTTGGATAGTCCCATGTGCATTTGGACTGGCACAATTAAGAGAACAAATAATAACAACAACTAAGGTGTTTGGATAGCACTTGAACCTAATTCCCTCTAGTGCTTTTACATCTATTATTTAATTCCATCCTCATTAACAGCTTTGTGACATAGACAGGGCAGATATCATTACATATATTCTCATTTTACAGATGGGGAAATTGAGGCTCCAAGAGGGCTCATTAGGTCACCAAGGGAGCCTCAAGCAAACTTCCTGAAAGTCCTCTACTTCTGCCTTTCCAAGAAAGACTCTAAGGTCCCCACTTTACTGTCCCAGGCCTTGAAACCTGGGGGCCTGGCCCTATCCCATGTACTGCCTCTTGGATAAACAATTTCTCCAGAAGAGGTATAGAGTCATAGACTGCTGGTGCTAGAAGGGAGGACCTAAACCCCAAATTTTATATTGGGGGAATTGAGCCCTAACTAGGATATGTGAGACCCCCTCTTGTTCTCAAAAGGGGCTTCACACCCTCCTTCCCCTTGACATGAAGATGTCTCTTAGAACTTGGAGCACAGATCAGGAACAAGGCAGGAAACTTACAGGATCACAGAACTTTGGAGCTGGGAGACCTCAGAGATCATCTGGTCTAACCACCTCTCTTTTAACAGATGAGGAAATGGGATCCAGAGAGGTTAAACAACTTGGCTGAGGTCACCCGGCAGAGCCAGGATTCAAACTCAGCTCCTTTGACTCCAAATCCATTACTTTTCCATTACGCCATGCTGTCCCAACATATGAAGGATGGAATGAATTTTGGCTCTTTCCTTTGCAGAGGAAAATTCTCTTAAGAGCCTATGTGTTTCAGGTATGACAGTAGCCACTGACCAAAGAGAGTGAAAAAGCTATTTAAATTTAAACTTATTTAAATTTTTTAAAAAAGAAATGGCAGCCACACACCTGTCTCTTGTCCTCAGGTGCTTTCAGGAAAAGTGCATTAATCAGCGCAATGGCATAAGTTTGGATCTCCTGGTTAGAGCTGTGGGAGAATAGGAAGCACAGGGTGATTACCAGATTCTAAGGGGCAAGATGATATCTAGGTAAGATTAAAAAAAAAATTTTATTCATTAAATATTTCCCAAATACATGTAAAAAAATTTAACAATCATTTTTTTTAAATTTCGAGTTCCAAATTCTCTCCTTCCCTCCCCTCTAACTCCTTGCGAAGGCAAGCAATTTGGTTTTAATTATACAGGTGAGGTCATGAATGCAAAACATTTCCATGTTAGCCATGTTGCAAAAGAAAACACAAACAAAATAAAACAATAAAAATAAAGAAAGTTTAAAAAGAATGCTTCAATCTGCATTCAGAGTTCATCAGTTCTCTCTTGGGAGGTGGATAACATTTTTCATCATGGGTCCTTTGGAATTGTCTTGAATCATTGTCTTACTCAGAGTAGCTAAGTTTTTCACAGTTGATCATCTTTACAATATTGCTGTTACTGTTCTCCTAGTTCTGCTCACTTCACTTTGCATCAGTTCATTTAAGTCTTCCCAGGTTTTTCTGAAACTATCCTGCTTGTCATTTCTTATAGCACGATAGTATTCCATCACAATCATATTCCTCAATTGATGGGCATCCAATTCTCAATTTCCAATTCTTTACCACCACAAAAAGAGCTGCTATAAATATTTTTGTATATATAGGTTCTTTTCCCTTTTCTCTTATCTCTTTGGGATACAGACTTACTGGTATTACCAGGTCAAAGAGTATGTACAGTTTTACAGCCCTTTGTGCATAATTCCAGATTCTTCTCCAGAATGGTTGGACTGGTTCAGAACTCTACCAACAGTGCATTACGTCCTAATTTTCTCACATCCCCTCCAGCTTTGTCATTTTCCTTTTCTGTCATGTTAGCCGATCTGATAGATGTGAGGTGGTATCTCAGAGTTGCTTTAATTTGCATTTCTCTAATCAGTAGTGATTTAGAGCATTTTTTCATGTGACTCTGAATAGCTTTGACTTCTCCTTCTGAAAACTGCCTGTTCATATTCTTTGACCATTTATCAACTAGGGAATAGGTCTTATTTTTATAAATTTGTCTCAGTTCCCTACATATTTGAGAAATGAGGCCTTTATCAGAGAAACGATGCAAATTCTTTCCCTAGTTTCTTGTTTTCCTTCCAATTTTGGCTATATTAGTTTTGTGCAAAAGCCTTTTAATTTCACATAATCAAAATTATCCATTGTACTTCCTGTAATCCCCTCTATCTCATTTGGTCATAAACTCTTTGGGGAAGATTTTGAAAAAAAGGACAAAAAACATCATTACAACAAAACAACTCTAACTTAACTCCCTGCCCCTGACCAGAATAAAGGCTCTGTCATGCACACTGGATACTACATGCCATTATCCTCTGAGAAGGTTCTAGGCCAAGTCTGACCTGGGTCAGTCTGGTGGTTCAGACTGAAGATTAGAATGAAATGAAACACTTAAAAGAAAAGATGCTTAATAACAATGGAGCATGGAAGAGATATTCAGCAAAGACACAGCACTGGTTGAGATAGATGAAGCCCCCCCACTTTTATCCACAGACAGAAATGCTTCTGATCACAACAGTGTGTTAACTAACAGCAGTGGGATGGCCATCAAGTCTGAGGGGTTTCTACTCCTTCTAGATGACAAGTCTGCAACTGAAACTTTAGTCTGCTAAACCATTCAAGCCTGAAGGATAGCTTGGAGAAAAACTAGACTAGCCTACATGGGAGGGCACCAGGTAGATGTTGCTCCTACTATAAACGAGGTGTAAAGTGTCTCCTGGGTCACATGGTAGGTACCCTGGGTAATGTTCTTCACTCAGCCCAGATCAAGGGAAATACAGCTATTTTCTATGATAACCCTCAGCTCAACCTCACAGATTCTTCAAATGTCAGAGCTGCAAGGGGCTTTAAAGTTAGAAGAGATAGTAAGATCCTCAATTTATAAGTGGAAAAATCAGCCTAAAGAGATCATGTGACTCACTCAAGGTCATATAGCTAGTTAGTAGCAAAGTCAGGACCTGAAAACAGATCTTCTGACTCTTAGATCACTGCTCTTCCCAAAACATTACGTTGCCTACTAATGGGGAAAGGGAGAGGAAGGGTTTAAGTATTTATTAAGCACCAATATATGCCAAGCACTGTGCTAAGTGCTTTGTAAATACTATCTCACTTGATCCTCATAACAACCCTGAGAGGAAGGGGCCATTATTATCCCCATTTTGCAGTTTAGGAAACTGAGGCAGACAGATGTTAAGTGACTTTCCCATGGTCACAGAATTACACTGAGAACCTAAGAGGATAAGCAGCTAAATCAGAGAAAAAGATAAAGGGTCCATATATACAGAAATATTTATAGTAGCCTTTTCTGTGGTAGCAAAGAATTGGAAAATAAGGTGGTACCCAGCAACTAATGGCTAAACAAATTATGGTACATAAATATAACTGAATACCATAGTAGTATTAATTAATGATGAAAAGGACAGTTTCAAAGAAACCTCAAAAGATCTGTACGAACTGATGCAGAGAAAGGTAAACAGAACCAGAACAATTTATACACCAACATTATACAAGTGAATAACTTTGAAAAACTTGAGAATGCTGAAGAATTCAATGACCAATCATGATCTTAGAGGACCAGTAATGAGGCCTGCTGATAACCTCCCACAGAGAGATGATGGGCTCAAGATGCAGAACGAGACACGTTTTTGATGTGGCCAATGTGGGAAACTGTTTTGTGTGACTGTACATATTTATTTTTACAAGGTTTTGTTTTTCTTTTTTTTTTCTTCTATGGCTCAACTAGGACAGGGAGGTTAAGGAGATGGAAAGGGAAAATCAAATTTTCTTAATTGAAAATAATTTGATTTTAAAAAGGATTAGCAGTTAACACTGATCCAGCTATCTTGGTTTCCACCATTATTAGTCAGGCTGCTGGCCTAGTGTCACTTTACAGAAGAAACACTATGCAGAAAGCTAAAATGATTAATGAAGTGCGAGGCTATAAGAGTTATAATTCACATTTGTATAGCACTTCATAGTTTAAAGAATGCTTTCCTTGTGAGCCTGTTCAGTAGGTAGTGCAAGATTACTATTATATATATTACTACCATTTTATTGATGAAAAATTCAGGCTTATGGTAACAAAGAGGCTTGTACATAGTTGTGTGCCCAGGACAGGCATTTTGCCTCTAAGTTCAGTGTTCTTTCCACTACCCCATGCCTGCCTCAGAACATTTCAGGATGGATTTCCTGGTCTATGGCTTAACCCAATGAATCAGATTGCCTGTGTGCTCTGCAAATTCTGGAAAAACATCCAATGCTGGGCTAACAGGCAGAGATGGAAGCTGCAAAGAGAATACAGCACGAGGCATGCTTTCCTTTTACTGGGAGTGGTGGATCAGAGCTAACTGAAAGTACAGTCCCAAGGGGCCCATACACTGCTGCCCACATCCTCTCGAGACCCTGCTTTATCAGGATCCTGGCAATACTGACTATGCCAATGGGGATGGAACAGGGGTCAGGAAGGAATCACTGATGGGTAAGTGTTGACTGGCACACCAGCTGCAAATGAAGAAAAGAGGAAGCAATAATGGTAGTGTTCCCAGGCATTCACTTGTTTCATTTCCTGGGAAAAAATATTTATAGAATGTAATAATAGTTATCACTTACATAGTGCTTTACAGAATTATCTCCTTTGAGCCTCACAACAACCCTGATATACATAGTGCACCTGTTATCCCTGTTTTACAGATGAGGAAACCAAGCCTCAGACACTGACTAGCTGTGTGAACCTGGGCAAGTCACTTAGCCTGTCTGCCTTAGTTTCCTCAACTGTAAAATGTTGGTAATAGCACCTACTTCCCAGGGTTGTTGTAAAGATTAAATGACAATATTTGTAAAGGTCATAGCAGAGTGCCTGGCCCATAGCAAGAACTTCATAAATGCTTGTTTTCTTCCTTCTTTCAGATGTAATTTGTTAATACATGCAAGAACTGGGACTTGAACTTGGGTTCTCTAATTCCAAATCTATTGCTCTCCTTACCCCAACACTCATCTGCTACACTAACCAGCTTGAACCTGTTTCCTCATAGGGCTGTTGCAAGGAAAACGTTATAAAGCATAAAGCACTAGACAAGTGAGGACTGCACCACAGCTGTTTCTTGGCACTAAGTCCCCTCAGGGAAAGTCCCGGTGCACCAGCTTCCTCTCACCCACAGCCTTTTGCACAGGACTGGGGGGAGGGAGAGTGAGAGGGGTGCATGCACTGCATGCATGAACCAACAAGCCAGAAAGTTAGAGCCTTCCCAAAGGAGAAACAGGGACGAGAGACCTGAAAGCCAAGACAGGAAAAGGCAGTGTCTCTTACTCACACCTGGAGGTGAGAGATGAGCTGGCCCACGGTGATCTCCTCGGCTATCTTCTGGTATAGGCTCTGGCTGTTCAAGACCATGCTCTCCAGGATGGCTAGCGACCGTTGCAGGATGGATACATCCACCATGGGCTGGCTCACATACCCAGCAATCTAAACCCAGAGAGAAAGAAGCACCCTCATCCATAGGTTCAGAAGGCAGTATGCTGAGGCATAGGTTTGGGTTTATGAGCCTAGAACTCCAGAAGCTGCTTCTTTCCTCCCAGACATCAGGGCTGCAGTCTAGGTATGCTGCTATCTGCTTTATGGCTACATGGTTCAAACTGACAGACTTTCTTTCTCCAGATATGGATAATCAAGTCTCAGATGAAACACAAGATCTTACCAAGCAGGCAAGCATGCTCTCTTCTCAATTATAATTCTTCAAGTGGAAAAGCCTAGGTTTCATTATAGCAGCTAAAGTATAAATAAGCAAGATAGATCAATTGGAGAAAGGACATTGAAATGTGATATGAAGATTAAAGGCATCAATAAAAAAAATGAAAAGAAAGGTAAATAAAGGGGATTTTATATTACTAGAGGCTCATTTCACCCACTGAACCAGTATAGCCTAAACACATTCTTTTTTAAGATTATCACCCTTCACAGACATCTTCACAAAATCATGGAATCTTTTTTTTTTAAATCAATCAATAAACATTTATTAAGTGCCTACTATGTGCCAGGCATTGAGCTAAGCACTGGGGATATAAAAAGAGACAAAAGATAATCCTTTCCCTCAAGGAACTTATAGTCTAATGAAGGAGACAACAAATACGTACAAACAAGCTACATACAGGATAAATGGGAAATAATTAACAGAGAGAAGACACCAGAATTCAGAGGAACTGGGGAAGGCTTCCAATAAAAGATGGGATTTCAGTTGAGACTTAAAGGAAGTCAAGGAGGTCAGTAAAAAAGACACTTCCATTCCTTTGCAGAGGTGAGAGATCCATGGGGTTGGAACACTATATATTTTCAGACTTTTTAGATATATTGACTGGTTTCACTGGTTTTTCCTACTTCTTTTTTTCCTTAATAGTATTTTGTTTCCAATTACATGTAAAGATAGTTTTCAACATTCATTTTTGTAAAATTTTGAGTTCCAAATTTTTCTCCCTCCATCCCTCCATTCCTTCCTCCCTAAGAGAGTAAGCAATCTGATATAGGTTATACTGTACAATCAAAAAATCATGGAATCTGAAGAGTGGAAAGGAGTTCCAGAGATCATCCAGTTCGTTATCTCCTGATAGCCAACACAGATATTCCCTCTACCCGTCATTTAACCTCCCTAGGCCTCACCTTCCTCAAATGTAAAATAAGGGGATTGGAATAGATGACCCCATAGTTCCTTCCTGTTCTAGATCTATGATCTAATGAAGGTCCCAGCTAAGTGGTCACCGAGCATCTGTCTAAAAACACCTAATGATAAAAGGCAGCCCATTTCCTTGTTGGACAACTCTAACTGTTGGCAAGTTCTTAGGCTGAGAGAAGATCTGTCTCTCAGCAACTTCATCACATTGGTTTTAATTCTGTCCTCCTGGGCCAAGGCCAAGCAGAACAAGTCTCATCCCTCTTCCATAAGACAGACATTTGGGTGCTTGATGATCCATCTTGTCAATGTCCCTCCTAAAACATGATGCCAGGATTGGGACCATGTCTACCTCCTCTGCTGCCATAGGCATATACACATGCACACAGGCACTGCATTCACCTATAAATTGATATGCTGACAGAACACAAACACTTAAAACCATATTCACATTTCAAGTTTCTGCTCTTCAGTGGAAGCACTCCAGCATCAACAGTCTCAACATCCCTTCCAAAATGTAGCTACCCAAAAGTGAATGCTATTCTCCAGGCACGACTAAACCAAATTTGGTAAAAATGCTTTCTAAGTTCTAATCAAGTCATTGATAAAAACAGGCTGATGCTCTTGGGCCTAACTGCCTTTATGGGTACCTTCCCCAGGCAGAAAGAACATCCTCACAGCATCAGGGCACAATAAGCAGCAGATGGTACGGGCTTAGGAGGTGAAGGCACTGAGCAGGAGGATCCTCACCTGCTTAATGAAGGTGATCGAAACCATGTCCCAGGAGACAATACCATGGTCCATGAGTTCCAGGAAGGCAGTCAGGGTGAATGCCAGCATCTCACTGTAACTGTGTAGTGTGAGAAACATATGCAAATGTTCAGAATAAGGAGCCAAAGCAGGAAGTCAAAATTTAAAAAGTTTTATTGTTACCTTGTTTTTTTTTAAATACCACAATCATTTATCATTTCCCCTTACGTCCTCCAGTCACCCCCCCACACCTCGACTCCTTCCTTCACCTTTCCCATTTACAAATGAGAACAATAACATTTGTTCCGAGAATATCCCTTTGTGGGTGCCTTTCCCCCAACTTTTCAGCACCCTTCTGCGTACTGTCTTCCCTCATTAGAAAATATATTCCTTGAGGGCAGGCACTGTCTTTCTTTTTGCTTGTATATACAAACCAAGTGCTTAGCACAGGGCTTGGCACATAAGTACTTAATAAATACTTGTTGCCTTTAAAATGTTACATAAACTACTTACTATTACTTTGTCCAACTACCTTATTTTACAGATAAAGCAACTAAGGGTCAGAGAGAAGTACAGACTATAGGATTTAGAAATGGAAGGGTCTAGTCTTTCCAGCAGCAAAGCGGTCAATGTAGATGAACAAACAGTTCTCATAGGAAGAATTGCAACCTGCAAATAGCCAAATGAAAGACTGCTCCAAATAACCAAGAGAAGTGCAAATCAAAACAACTCTGAGGTTTCATTTCACACCCTGAAGATTAGCAAAGATGACAAAATATGAGAATAGTCAATGTTGGGGAGGGAGTTGTGGAAAGACAGGTGCACTTACACACTATTGGTGGATTTATGAATTGGTCCAATCATTCTAGAAATTAGGGTTTAGAGTTATGTTAAGAAAGTGACTAAAATGTTCATATCCTTTAACCCACAGATTTCACCACTAGGTATATACCCCAAGGATGCCAAAGACAGAAAAGATTCATAAATAACAAAATGTTTAAAGGAGCACCTTTTGTAGTTGTAAAGAACTGGAAGTAAAATATGCCTCGGCTAAATAAATTTTGGTACGTGGATGTAATGGAATATTGCTAAATCGTAAGAAACGAATATTAAGAACACAGAGAAGCAAGGAAATACATATGAACAGATGCAAAATGAAGTCAGCAAAACAATATACACAATGACTACAACAACGTAAAAGAAAGGGAAAAACAATGAAGCAATACTAAATAAATATAATAAACAAGTTTGGTTGTGAAGATGAGAAAACAGCCCCGCCCCACTTCTTCACAAAGGCTGAGGAATATACATGAGGAACCCTAAGTAAATTGAAAGATTTGACTGAATGAGGGACTGGCTGGTTTAGCTGAGCTACCTTTTTATGTCCTTCTTAGCGATTCTTTGTTACAAGGGATTGCTCTCTGGGAAGGAAATTCGAGGGGTATGTTTAGAAAGGAAGGTAACATAAAACAAGGTGTCTAAACTTTTCCTAAAAGACAGAAATCACTGAGTCTAAACTCCTCACTTTATTTTTTTATTTTTTGTTTTGGTAAGGCAATTAGGGTTAAGTGACTTGCCCAAGGTCACACAGCTAGGAAACTCCTCACTTTATAGAAGAGAAAACTAAGGCACAGAGAAAAGGTGATAGAGTGAATTACTGGCAGAGCTAGGACTAGAACCCCAGGCTCCTACTATCAAGTCTGATACTTTTTCCACCACACATCATGAGTATAAGAAACTCCTGACCCATGTGACTCCAAAGCCCAAGGGATACACAGACAGACACCAATCCTTCCATAACCAGCAGACTGCAAGAACTTGGTGACAACAACTATTGAGGCTTGTCCAAGGCCTCAGGGCTAACATGCCCAAGAATTCCCTTTCAGTAGCTAAGGCATGAAAGAACCCCTCTACATTACAAGATTTAAAACATGCATCCAGCCTAAGTATTGAGCTTAGCTGCAATTTTCAGTGGGTATGCCATCAGCAGCATATCTGGGACTCTCAGATAAAACATTCCAATATTTCTCAGGACAGCCAAGACTTCTGATCTTAAACCTTTATAAGCTAAGGTCCCTAAAGCCTCCAAATGAAGGACGTGAGCACAGATTGCTGCTGATGACAACGTAGGATGCCATTTTCTAGCTTGTTCACATTGACACTGAGGAACTGTGAAGACACTGTACAGTGTTGGAGGACGACCTTAGACAGTTAGTGGTGGAGACAGAAGGATGGGGGTGTGTGTGAGTGAAAAGATGGCTGGACCAATGGATAATCTAGCAACATGAGTATAGGATGAAAGATTACAAGCCCTTGTCCTACCTCCTCTACCTGTGTGTCCCAGCAAATTAACAGGTATGTCAAAGACTGATCTCTAATATCTCTGAATGCCTACTGCACTTGTCTGTGCCATCCACTTGACTCAATCATAGTTTATCTCTTACACTTATGAACTATGTGATGACATCAAATCACTTAATTCTGAACCTCAGTCATAAAATGAAAATAATACCTGCCTCACAGTCTTTGTGAGCAAAATGCTTTGTAAACTATGATGCACTATATTAATGTGAGCTGTTATTATTATTCTTATTTGGCTTTTCATATAAGTCTTATCTCCCTAACTAGACTGTGGGTAGAAACTGTGAATTTCTAATAGTTCACCATACATAGTAGACATAACACAAATACTTGCTGGATGAATTAATGAATGATAACAAAAGGAAATGGGATAAATATTACCTCCATTTGAAGAAACTGAAACTCAGATAACTTAAATGATTTGCCCAAGAGCACATAACTAGTCTCTGTCAGAGTAGGGATTTAAACCTAGCTCTAATAGTTCCAGTGTTGTTGTTACAGTATAACACTGCTTTTCATCTCCAAAAGCCCTCAGGACAGTGCTTGTGACACACTTACTGGGACAAAAGCTTGGTGCCACTCTCCACCAGCCTCGTTAACACCACAATTCCCTCCATGTTGATGAATTCAGTGGCAAAGGTCACATCAGCAGAAAGTTTGGCCAATTCCTTCATAGCATCCAGCCGAGTCTCCATGTTAGATGACTGTGTCCTCTCCATAAGCTGACGTGCAGCCCGGGACTACAAGACCAGAAAACAAGTGCGTTACCAGCCCTGCCAACTTTTTCCTCATTTGCTCCTCATTGGCAGGTCCCTGAACTAGGGACAGATCTGGGGGGCCTTAAGTGACCCAGGCTAAAGCAGAGCCATCTTTCCATTAATTCCGTTTGAGTCAGGTCAACAAATTTTATCAATGGCCTACTCTGTGTAAGGCCTAGGGATTACCAAGTTAAAACAACAGAAGAGTGGTTCTCAAGAAATTTACAATCTAGTAAGGGGGTATGACACACACAAATAAGTATAGTACAAGGCAGAATGCAAGAGGGACAAAGGAGAGGCCTAAGGAAAATACTATAAGAAATCTGGGGAAGAAAAATAATCACTCCTAGCTAGGAAAGCAGACAAAGCTACATGGAGGAGATGGCACCTAAACAAGCCCTTAAGGAAAGGGAATTTCAACAGGAAATGCACTCCGGGTATCAGTGACACCTTGAGCAACACAGACTAAAGAGGGAGGTGAGAGAATATGGGATGACGTTGGAAGAGACGATGGGACAAAGTAGTAGTCCAATATGGCCAGAATGGAAAATTTGTGAGGGGGAGGAGAACAAAAAAATAAGATTAAAAAGGTAAGCTGGAGGCTGAATGTGGAAAACCTTAAATACCAGGCTAAGGAAGAGGTGGTCTATCCTATTGGTGATAAGAAGCCACTAGATTTTTGAGAAGGGCAGTGACTTGGTCAGATTTTCCCTCCAACATGATTACTTTGGCAGGTGAATGAGGCTAGTCTGGAGAGGGGAGAGACTGGAGGTAGAAAGAATAGGTGGAATACTATTACAATAGTCCAGATGAGAAGTAATAAGGGCCTTAAAGACTGTGGGAGTGGAAAGGAAAGTGCTAGGTTGAAGACAGAGTGTGCCAAGACCAACATGGTTTATTCATATCCCTGTCATATTCTGCCCAGGGGAGAAAGTATAACACTAGAAAAATGTTCTTAATAAAATTCTTTATAAAAACAAGCACCCCTCTACCTTAAGTAAACTACTCTTACAAGCAGCAATATCATTGCTTTTTACTAAGGTAACCTGGCATACTGAAATGAACAAACTAGGGATCAGGGGATCTGGGTTCTCGTCTTATCTAGGCCACTTTATAGCTGAGCAATTCACTTATCCTTTTTGGGCCTCAATTTCCTCTTCTGTAAAATAGGGATGCTACCTATACTACCTATCAATCAATCAACAACCAGTTACTAAACACCTATTATGTGCCAGGAATTATGCTGGGCACTGGAAATACAAAGACAAAAATGAAAATGTCCTTGCCCCCCAAGGAGCTTACATTCTGTAAGATCTAATAGTACATGTAATATCATATTCTAGCCCATCCCAGGATCAAATGAGATCATGTATGTAAGTAAGGTGCTAAACAGATAGGAGTTATTTTCTCTTTTTTTTTCTAATATTCACCAAGTAGAGGTCTTAGAGAATTTTTCAAGAACACCACAGAAGCCAAGCTTGCTATGTAAAGTGAGACAAAGCCTCCCTCTACTTTACAGTGTACTCCCTTAACCAAATTACCTGTTCTACTCCCCATACTTCAAAGTCCAGCTGCCTCTTTCAGGAGGCCTTTGCTTCTCAGGCCCACAAAAATGTCTCCAATATCTTTGCCAAGAAAACCCCAAATAGGATCATAAAGAGCTGGACATGACTGGACGACAACAATGTATATGCTATATATGTTCGTGTCATTTCCCCCATTAGAACATAAGCTATTGGAAGGCAGGGATTGTTTCACTTATCATTGCACCCCCTTTTCTTAGCATGGTTCGTGGAATATAGTAAGTGCTTAAAAGATGTTTGTTGACTGAGTGAAGGGATCAAAAAGCCAACAAAGTATGTGCTTAATACTAGTGATATAAAAATAAGACAGTTCTGGTCTTCAAGGAATTTACTATCTAATCAAGGGTATATAACATGTATATAAATAAATGGGCTATAAAAAAATAAAAAATAATAAATGGGCTAAAATGTGATCACAGCAAAGGAATAATTCAGATAGGGTACTCTAGGAAACTTCATTTCCTACTATGCCTGAACAGTACCAAACACATAACAGGTCCTTCGATATCTGCTGAATCCAGGATCCACTATGTGCTCATCACTTCTACTCCCTCAGCCTCTCCTCTCCTCCCATAAATAAGGGTCTTACTAACTCTTTTCCTCTGTCAAGTATGGAGATCACCTAATTCTTTTTGTAATCCTATGTTTTAAGGTAGAGAAGTATTGGTCCTTAAAATGAGGATGATGAGAAAAAGTTGTTACAGGATGAAAAAGTTTGATAACCATCAAACCACATATTCTGAAGCTACCTCAATGCCACACAAGTCAAATTTCCATCATTTGCCTGTCAAGCTAGAACTACTGTGATATTTTCTATTTCAGAAAATTGACTTCAAGAAAGAATCCTGAAAAATGCTCCATTTGCTCAAGAAAAGTATCTGACACACAGTTTACATTCGAAGTCAGGTGAATTCTAGAGCGAGATGAAGCCTTCAACCACTGGCTTGACCTTAGAACTTATGGTGACAAACAGGAGATTACCTACCGGTGAGATGGCCAGCTGCAAGATCGTCCCATTTTTTATGTCACTGCGGGTCTGAGCACAAAGAAAGAAGAGAAGTAACAAATAAGAATGTAATATGGCAAGCTTTCAAGCTAACAGGGCCAACAAGGGCTCGCTTTGTTAAAGAATGATGTAATAGACTCTGGCAAACCTCTTTGCACAGCACAATGGCCTGCTACTGTCCCTGCTCAGGCCCACTGAACCGGGAAAAAAAGATTTCCAACCAAGAGGGACAGACAGAGCCAGTATGGTGTAACAGTGCCAACAAAGGACTGGAAATTAGGAGACCTCAGCTCCGATTCTGGCTCTGCCACTAACTTGTCCTGTGACCTTAGACAAGTCATCGTCCCTCCCTCTCTAGGCTTCAGTTCCCTTAATGGTAAAATGAAGTGGAATGAACCAGATGATCCTGAGAGTCCCTGCAAGTTCTGACACTCCAAGTTCATAAAATCTTTCCATGGTCTATGATCTAAGAGCACTTCCATCTCTGGCCTATGATTTAAGGCTACTTAAAGGCCTGACACACTGTGGTGTGTGGTTCAATGTATAGTGCCACCCATTAGAAAAGAATTCTATACCCTGCATATGGGAAACTGCAAACACCAGGCAGCATATATGTGGTTGCCTCCTGGAACAGTTCCCTTTAAAGCACAGGCCCAAACACATTCTCTGTCAGCTCCATCTCCGGTACTGACCTGTTCAGTGATGTATAGCTGGGGGCCATCTGCATAACGGAGAGTGTAGTACTCAGGGTTTGGTAGTGACCACCTGATTAAGAGAACAACAACAACAAGAACAAAAAACATACATATAGGACCAGTGTCTGACCCCACACAACTGGACCTTACTCCTTACTTATCCCACCAACTACAGTTCTAAAAATACTGCGTCCAAATCAAATTCCCATGCATAGTAGGTATTAATGAATGTCTACCAAATTGAATCACATCACACTGTAAATGTACCAAGTCTACCTTCTGTAAAGTATTTTTTAGTTGCCTAGTTATAGGCTATGTGACTAGTTGTGCCCATGAACCGGAGGGCAGAAACAGAAAGAAGAGTATCTGAGGGAAGTGGAAGGAGAAACAGAAGCAATTTTGCATATTACAGACCATCTGGACAGAAGTGAGGATTTCAGGAAGCACATCAAAAACTTGGAAGAGGCATAATATGGTAATGATGGGAGATTTTAATTATCCAGACATCTTCTAGAGTCCTCCCTCTGGCAAAAGCAGAGCAGCTAATAACATCTTGATTTACTTTCAATAATCATCTCCATTCAGAACATATTCAGAATAGATCTCCACTTTAGAAGAATGAAATTATGCTGGCAGGCAGAAACTGGTTGCTGGAATAGAAATGATGTAAACCTTGAGGGAAGTGCCCACTGCCTCCCAGTGTCTGTAATGGAGAAGCAGGAGAAAGCGAGTCCTAAGTCTGACACAGACCTTAGATCTGAGGAAAGCAGATTTTAAAGGGTTTGGAGAAAGGCTACATAGAATCTCATGGACCAAAATCCCATTGGAGAAGTCACTCCAGAAGGGTTAAGAAACTTGTAAGAATGAAATTCTGAAGACACAAAGGGAAACAATTCTAGTGAGGAGGAAAAACTGAAGACTTATGTGAATATAGAGAGAACTCATCAATCAACTTGGACATTTAAAAAAAGAAAGTAATAGAAAATGCACGCATAGCCAGGTAAAGGAGGATAAATAAAGAACCTAGCCCAATCTTGTAAAAATGTTAGGAGTGCTACAGCTCAGAAATAGCTGAGGTTGGAATAAAACAAAGGAAAACAAAAGGTTTTTGGTTTTGTTTTTTAGCTTTTTTGGTGAGGTGATCAGGGTTAAGTGACTTGCCCAGGGTCACACAGCTAGTAAGTGTTAAGTGTCTGAGGCTGGATTTGAACTCAGGTCTTCCTGATTCCAAGGCCAGAGTTCTATTCACTGTGCCACCTAGTTGCCCCTAACAAAAGGATTTAAAAAAAAAAATCAATAGGGATAGGGTAGGACAAAAGGCAGCGTAAGGCCACTGCCTACAAAGGAGAGGACAACAATAACTGACAAGAGAAGGTAGAATTGCTTAATTCTTATTTTGCTTAGTTTCTCTAAGGATGATCTTTGTTCTGGCTAGAAATGACAAAACAGAAATGACAAACTGGAACTGATTCCTAAGACACATAAAGAGATAGTAAGAAAATACCTAGTGCCCTTGATAAAATCAGGTTGCCTAGCCCAGATGAACCATATCCTCTGTATTGAAAAAGCTGGTAGATACAATTTCTGGGACTGGGCTAGGTCACGGTCATGATCATCTGAAAGCTTTTGAAGAAGGGAGAGGTGATGCCCAACTAGTCAAGAGCAAATGCTGTCACAATCTTTCAAAAAAGGAAGAGAAGAGAGTATACAAATTATAGACCAGTGACTCCAACTTTGATTCCTAGGAAAATGCTATAGCAGATCATTAAAGAAATAGTTAGTGAACATCTAAGAAAGGAAACAGTGATTTCAAAGACTCACCACGACTTCACCAAAAACAGATCAAGCCAAACAAACATTAATTCCATTTCCAACTAGGTCACTAAACTAGTAGACAGGGAAATTGTGTGTGTGTGGAGGGGGATTCTCATAACTGTATTCAAATATCTGAAAGGCTCTCATGTGAAAGAGGAATTAGACTTGTTCTGTTTAGCCACAAAGGGCAGAAAAAGGACTAATGTGTGGAAGTTGCAAAGAGATAAATGTCTGCTTGATGTTAATGATAATAGGTAATAGTTAGCATTTATATAGCACTTACTATCTGCTGGGTACTGTGCTAAGCACTTCACAAATATTATTCCATCTGACCCTCACAACAACCCTGGAAGTTGGATGCTATTATTATTCTCATTTTACAGCTGAGGAAACTGAGGCAAACAGAGGTGAAGTGACTTGCCCAGGATCACACAGCTAGTAAATATCTGAGCTGCATTTGAACTCAGGTCTTCTTGACTTCAGGCCCAGTGCTCTATTCAATGCACCACCTAACTGCACTCAGCAAAAGCTTCCTAATAATTAAAGCTATACCAAAGTGGAATGGGCTGCCTTGGTAGACAGTGGAGTCCTTCTAATTGGAGGGCTTCAAGTAGAGACTGCCTGACCTTTTGTGAGACATGTAGCGGAGCCTCCTTTCAAGCACAGGCTGAACCAGAAGGCTGATGAAATTATTTTTCAATTTGAAAATTCCATGATTCTTTGATTTTAGGAAAGTTTCTCTGGCCTCAGTTTCCTCCACTATAAAATGAGTGGTTAGAAGACTAGATGATATTTAAGTTCTAATATTAAATAACTACAGAATAATTTGGTAGAACACACTGAAGACCTAGATTATAGTGTGAACTGTCACCAATTTGTGGTGTGAGTTTGGGCCCATCATCTCTCCTCTATGGGCCCCAGCTTCCTCCTCTGTACCATGAGGGAACAGAAATAGACCTCTAAACTTTATGGCTCTGGCACTTTATAATTTTATAACTTAACTCTAAATAATCATTTTGTAAACTTAAATTTGTAAACTTTTTTTTAAGGGGAGTACTAAGATTGGAGTGCCCCATTCTTATATACCAATAATATATGCATGTGGGAACAAAGTGGTTCTCCTGAGCAGATCCTGATGACTGCAGCATGTATGCATGAAAATATACACCAACTTTTCATGGCAGGGAGTGGAAAGGGGAGAAGAAAGCTGGGAGAATATGGTGGCTAGAGGCTTTTCGTGGTGGTGGCAACTGTATCCTTGGGAAGGGATCATAAAACTAGTGACAGAGGGGACAAGTCTGTGCTCCAATGAAAAGAATATAGTGAAACTGTGACATCAGAAGGCTCATAATGAAGCATGCTACCCATCCCCTGAAGGAGAGGTTAGGGACTTGTGCACATTGAGACATATGTATTTTTTGGACTTGCCCAATGCAAGAATTTTTTTTTTTTCTTAATATACATATGTTACAAGGGTTTTATTTTTCTTTCTTTTTTAAATTGGGGGTGGGAGGCAGGGAGAGAAGGTGGATTTCTTTTCATTAAAAAAAATCAAATTAAAATTTTTAAAAAGGGGGCATAGTAAGCAGTATTGGACTTAACAATGGATTGTATGGGTTGTCAATTGCTCATCTGGTATGCAAACCTTTATAAAAACAGAGCAAGCCACTTCGATGGGCAGAAAACTGTTACCAGAGGTCTTGAGAGCTTGGCTAATCCACTGTACCTCCTTAAGGGCCAGGAAGATTGTTATATCTGGTCTGCTGCCAATCCCCTAGTAGGGCCCTGGTGCAAACTCCTCTGCCAAATAAATCCTTATCAAGATCCATTAAATGATGCTTTAGTCTTTAGTGAGCAGCAATCAGCGGCTGTGGAATCTATTAGTGGACCAAACTTACCCGTCACAAACTTCCTTGATAATGGATGCCAGGGGCCGTTTCTGTAAAGAAAAAGACATAATTCCTCACTGGTGATCACCTTCTAGTCATACCAAAGCTGTTAATGGAGTAGATGTTAAGTAGGACTATCTCAAGAGAGGGGAGTGGAATACCTCCCTCTGTTAAAGAGTAAGCAACCCTGACCTGCCTCTGGCACATCAGGGCAGAACTACAAGACAAGATCCCTAGAACTAAGGCTTACTCCTGACTCCAGGGATCCCCCTTGCTTCCTCCCTTCATTTCCCACACAAATACACACATACTATCTCTCTTCTCTTACAGCATCTCAAACTCTCACCTGGTCAATTTCCAGCAGCTGGGCATTGGCACCTGGCCACTCAATTGCCACTTTGACAATGTCAGAGGGAGGCGGCATTTTCATTAATGGACCCACCTTCCTCCAGTGCAAGAAACAAAGGGGGCTCCCTGGTTATACACACACATATACACCCAGTTCAGCTGCCTGTGGAGAGAGGGAGAGGGTCAGACAGAAAGGAAAAGTCACAGTACATAATAATCTTATTTTTTACTTATTTTGTTATGCATAGTTCAAAAGAAGAATGTTTAATGTTATATGTGATACATATGTAAGAAACTACCCAGGCTGAATGATCTTAACCCCAATCCCACAACTGCTGCCAGCTGTGACTTAAGACTATTGAAGGAAATGTTTTCTCTGTATTGGGGGCAGGAGGTGTCATAAACATCCGAGACTGGTGGCCCTCAGGAGAATATGTCCATTTTTAGTAACACCTTGAAGACACAGAAGGCATGCTTATCAAATATGGTCAGGCCAAATCCGAAATGTGCTCAGTTCTCAGTGTCATATTTTAAGGATATTGGCATATAGGATCATGCTCAAAGAAAGGTGACCAAGAAGAGGAGGGAGCTTATATGGAGTCATACAAGAATCCACTGAAGAATCAGGAATGTTTGTTTTGGAGAAGAGAAAACTTTAAGCAAGGAGGGAGGGCAGATAGACATGATGAATTGATAATTAATTTATGAAATTATGAAATGGGGGCAGGCTTGTCCAGTTCTTTGGTACTCACCATGAAAGACCATGATTGGCAGCGGGAAACTTGAGCAGCAATCACACTTAAATAATTACAAAAAGTTTGAGGGCAAACAACACAGAAAGTACTGAGACAAGCAGCAAAAAGTGGGGAGAGATACAGAGGTGGATGGCATGGGAACAGGGATAGGGTGGTGGAAGGAGGCAGATAATGTGGGGAAGATGAGGAGGGTGAAAAGGCAGAATATCACTCACACAGTCTAATTTTGATTAAATTAGAGTTGGGAGCACTCATTAGCAAGGACCCTTAGGAGACAGAAGAGTTGGGGGGAGGAAGGGGGAAAAGCTTGAGGTCTCATTTTATAAAGTTTTGGGAGGAAACAGATCAACTCCTATCTGTGCCACCTTGTGGTTACCTTGTTAACATAACCAAATCATCTCAAAGTTATAGGTAAAATTTCCAAGTTGTCATTGCAAAGCCATCAGCACCTTTTTGATGTTCTGCTAGTCTGGAGCTGTGAAGGTCTAGAATTTACATGTCATAGGACCAGAACCCTGACAGCAGCAACTAGATGGCTTCTGCTGATTCATCATGTATTTCCAGGATGTGAATTTTGGATAATTTAATTTGTAAATTATGCTCCTCTGATCTTGGGGACAGTTTGTAAGTGACTTTCAGGTTCCCCTTTGAAATCTAATTTTCTGTTATTTCCGCTTTATACTGGCTACTTATAAACTTCCTTACTATACTGACTAGAAGGGGAGGGGTGGTCAGGGACTAAAACAAGATACAATTTTAACATACATGATAATTTTCAAATATCTGAAGAGAGCTTGTGTAGAAAAAGGAGTCAACTTGTTATATATCCAGTCCCAGAGGGTAGAACTAGAACCACTGAGAGGAGTTAGGGAGACAGATTTCATAGAGTATTCAAATTCAAGTCAATGCTATTTAACAAACACTTATTAAGTATCTATTATCAAAGACCCTTACTTGGAAGTAGAACCTAAGATGAATCTTTAAGGGAGCAAATTTTCAGGAAGCTAAGTATTCCAAGAGATGGAGATGAGGAGAAAGAGCCTTCCAGGCACCTGGGACAACCTATGCAAAAGCATGTAAATCATTTTGGGAGAAAATATGTGAAGGGCTTTCAATGATAGACTGAGTAGTTTGCATTTTAGCCTAGAAGCAATAGAGTGCCACTGAAAGTTTTTGAGCAGGGAACTGACGTGGTTAGATGTGTGATGTAGGGCTATCAATGTGGCAGCTATAAAGAGGATGGACTAGAAAGGGGAGAGAAAAGAAGCAGCGAAACCACTTAGGAAGCTAGTGCAATAACCCAGGGGAGAAGTAATGAGGGCCTTCCTGAAATAGGGTGGTGGCTGTGTGAGTGGAGAGAAATGATGGCAAAAGAGGGCAGAGGAAGAATTGCTAGGAGTGAAGAAAAGCAAAAAGTCAAATGACTTGGATAAAGAGTCAGAGACTTTAAGGTTGTGGACCTGGATGACTAGAAAAATGGTAGTGCCCACCACCGAAACTAGGAAGTTAGGAAGAGAGATTAAGTGTAGGGGAAAAGACAATGAGTCTTATTTTAGACCTGCTGAGTGTGAGATGTCTATGGGAAACTCAAGTGGAGCTCTCCAGCAGGCAGTTCATAACAGAAGACTAGCAATCTATAGAGAGATGAGGACTCCCACATAGCAATGGGAGTCATCTACATAAAAATGATCACTGAACTCATGGGAGCTAATAAGATCACCAAAAAGAAAAAAAAAAGAATATAGAAAAAAAAGAACCAATAGAAAAAAAGAAGATCCCTGGGGCACATCCATCCATAGTGGGTGAACAAGGATAATGATTTTAACTAAAGAAGTTAAAAATGGAATGGAATAGAATCCTTTTAAGGTAGGGAGCTCCCTGTCTTCCAGAGCACTCAAGCAGAGGCTAGATGATCACTTGTTAAGGATGTTGTATTGAGCTGCTGGATGGCTTTGGCATGACGTCACATATACCATGGTTATAATATTGTTTGCCTTCTAAATGAGTAGGGGATAGGCTTGAGGCAGGAAGAGAATTCGGAATTCAAAATAAAAAAAGAATGTTAAAAAATAAAGGTTTTTTTTTTTTTTTTTTTTTTTAAGAGGTGTTGGGCTACATGACCTCTGAGACCTTAGAAGGAGCACTGAATATGGAATCAGAAGGCCTACTTTCAAATTCGCCACTTACTACCTAGGTGACCCTAGGCAACTCACTTCACTTTTCTGGGATCTAATAGCTCCTCTGTAAAAAGAGGGAATGGGACTAAGGTCCCTTCCAATTCTAAAATCCTATGTCAGATTTTTCAGATCACAATTCAATCTCCTTCTGGGCTTTCATAGCTTCAGATCAAAGCAACAAAAACAGGATCAGGTTAAGAGATGCATATGCTGTACATGGCACCACTTCTTGGAAATGTACAAGAAGACAAAGCTTTCAAAAGGAAAAATTCTCCCTTAAAAGAAGAAGGAAAAAAATGAATCCCAGTTTGAGCAAAGCTGGAGGATGGGCCATGTGACTGGTATCCAAGGCAACTAGGTCTGACATAGTGGTACTCTAAGTGGGAGCTATAGCATCCTCTCCCTCCAAGGTCTGATTAAGGGTAGTCACCAGGATGATGGATGACTTCAATGGACATCTGCACATAGTCCCCTCCCAACCTACAAGTCTGCAAAAAGCTCTGCTACTTAAAAGAAAAGCATTTTTTGGCTAATTCTTCACACTTATCCAGCCAGCCAGCAGCCGAATCCTCCACAGTAGTTGCCAGCTCCTCCTAGCATACATCATGAGAAGAAGAAACCTGGCAGAGGGGGAAAAGCAGAGGGCCAGGAATCAGGGACCCGAGTACGAGTTCCAACGTTGCCACTGATAAGCAGAATAAGTTAACTCCCTTTTCTGGGTCTCAATTTCTTCATCTGCAAAATAAAGGGTTGGAGCAATTGATCTCTATAAGGTCTCTTCTAACTCTAAAATTCTATGTTCATGCTGCTCTGAGAAGCAGCAAGGTGTAGTGGCAAGAGGGCTCACAAATTACAAAACTTCTCAGTGCTCTCAGAAACTTTCTGGGTCTGTAAGTCACAGAACAGCTGCCAATCTGCATCAGTGCAGGTAAGTTCCATACATGAAGTTCCCTACACTGACGAAATTAGAGATTCAGATCAAATCAAGAATACCTCCCAGATCTAATATTCCATGTTTTAAGGGCCCTTCTAGTTCTAACCATCTTTTTCCTTTGTTCTGTCTCTTTTTCCTCTAACATGATTCTAAATGGCCAAGCTGTCATTCAGAGATCTATTAGTCTGATAAATACAGACTGGCTTTCAGGGTCCAGCAATAAGAATTCTCAGGGTGACCTATCAATGCTTGAAAAACAGAACCTTGGGGCAGCTAGGTGGCACAGTGGATAGAGCACCGGCTCTGGAGTCAGGAGGACCTGAGTTCACATCCGGCCTCAGACACTTGATACTTACTAGCTGTGTGACTCTGGGCAAGTCACTTAACCCCAATTGCCTCAAGAGAAAAAAAAAAGAAAAACAGAACCTTTCTCTCCCCACAAATTCACAAACCTCAGGAAGAGGGAAATCATAACTACCACCTGCTACCAAGTAGTGGGTGTTCTGAGTGGGACAGGGTGTCAGACCAAACTGCTGAGACATCAACATCCCCAGAACCCACCCAATAGATGAGAGGAAGAAATTGCCAATTCTTATACTCCAAGACATCTCAAGGTGGAGACCCGCCTCAGGCTGACCTGAGGGCCCCAGAAATCTGGTTCACCATTTGTGGCTTTTGTGTGCACAGATTGACAAGAGGCACACAAACCAGAACTGGCCATTATCACATACCCGCAACTCTTTTGGTTGCAAATCCTCTGTCTCAATGATATAACTGGGTCCAGGAGGATGGGGACACAACAGAGAAATTGGATTGGGGGGGGCAGCTAGGTGGCACAATGGATAGAGCACCAACCCTGGAGTCATGAGGACCTGAGTTCAAATGCGACCTCAGACACATAACACTTCCCAGCTGTGCGACCCTGGGCAAGTCACTTAACCCCATTGCCTAGCAAAAAAAAAAAAAGAAAAAGAAAAAAATTGGATTCCAAAGCTGACCCTGACTCACTGAGAACCTACAGTTTTAACTTCTTCAGGCCTCCTCACCCATAAAAAAATGATCTAACTAGAAGATGTGATTCTATTGTAACAAGACTGACTTCTAAATATATGTAAGCAGCACAGTGTAGTGGAAAGAACATTGGACAAAGAGTTAGGACACTTGGGGTCTCATCTCAGCTCTGCCATTACCTAGCTATATGAACATGGGCATAGAGTTATAGAATATTACTGATAGAAGGGTCCTTGGAGATCATCTAGCTCAATCCTCTTATTTTAGAGAGAGAAAAGAGGGGAGG